GTTAAATCTAATAATTAAAATTAAATGAGTATTTAAGTAATGTAGAATATTCTGGAAGAAAAGAATTGGCCCGGAACAGGACATGAACCCACAACTACCACTTACCATGTAGATACATTGCCAGTTACACTACCCAGAGCTTTGTTTGATCCTTTGCTTCCAGACATGTTAAATTATAGATATAACCACCCACAGTTACTTCATATTGGATGATTATAGGCCATGGACATAGGAGTCATCCCCTGTCAGTGCCATGAGTAACCGCAGATGGTTGCAGATTCATGTCTCACTCCAGGCCGATTCTTTTGTTTCAGAATATTCTAAATTATTTAGTAAAATATTAATTTAATTTTAATTGTTAAATTTAACAAGAGATGGTGCGTAACATCTACCTCTAGTACCAAATTACTTAGAATTTAATTATTAATAGTAGGAATAAAGTAGCCTGATTCATTATGGTGATCAGTTAGCTTTGATTAAAAAACATTGTGCTTTGAGATGTTTATGTGATGATTTTAATAATGGACTTTCAGCTTTTCAATTTTTCAGATTTATTAAAACTCAAATTTAGTCAGTTAGATTTACTACATCAAAGAGAATCATTGTGAATATGGAAAAACTGTTATTTTACTAAAAATATTTTATAATGTTAGTAAACTTTAATTATGTTGTTAATTATTTATCAGATGTTTTAAATAGAATATAGAAATTGTTTTATTGTTTCTATTATATATTTCAGGATTGTTGATTACTACGTTGTGCTATTTCAACTAATAGGGTATCAGTTCTCCAACAGTCAATAGTTCAAATCTACGTCATCTTACAGTTTTCTTCTATATTCATTGATTATTCTGTAATTTTGATTTAAGATTCTGTATATATTGATCAATTTTAGCTATAATTTAACTATATATAAAAAATGTTTGCCAGATTGATTTAAGATATTAACCACAACACAAACTGGTCATATTTGTCACAAATGACATAAAAATGTAAATAACTGCTTAATTATAATCCAGATTATCAAATGCCAGCTTACCAGACATTTTTGCATTTGTACAAAATTTTATATATTATATATAAAATGTGTAATGCAAACATTATTTTCATTTTGTACTAGAACTTACTGCTGTATACTTTTGATTTGTTTGCACATGTTCTTTAATCAGTCTGAAGTTGATATAGTGCTTGACTATATTCTGATAATATCGATTGAAAAACTTAAATATTAACGTGTTCTTTCTCAATGCCAACATTCACAATGATTCATGAACATATAATATTTATTTTGCAGATATGATTACTTGTGTAAAATGATTGATGTAGTGAAACTTCTGTATAAGGAAGTTGCTAAATCCTGAAAAAAAATTGCTATAGAGAAATTTCCTTATATAGAAATTTTGCGTTTTAGTAATTAAATGTAATTTAAATTAATATAAATGTAATATACAGTAATATGTAATATAGTAAATGTAATATGTTTCAAACTTGTTAAGAGCATTAAAACTGCTTTATCTACATTGACATAAACACAAGATTCTATCATGTTTTTCTTGTAGGTCTCTCGTCATTAGCTAATTTCAAAATCAATTCATGATTTGTTATTATGGTTGATAAACTACTCACAGGAATTAGAAACTTTTCTACAATGTCTTTCTTTTTTGAACTTTTATCAGCTTTCTGCAACACATCATTTTTTTTTTTTTAGTAATGTTTAAACACTATATTAAGTTCTTCAAATTCCAACTGGATGACTTATTAAATAAAATCTCGCTAACTTTAAAAATTAGTCCAGCAGTTGTCAAAATTATCACCTTTGTAACATTTTCGACATTCATTAATTTGTAAATCATTCATCTGTCAACAACGGCATTTGGACCTAATCTCTCTCTCCCTCGTTTAGAACCATATGGGGGGAGATTACACGATGTCCAGTATTTAGCATACCCAAGCCATGGTTTTACAAAGAGTTTTCAGGTTAATACCTGAAATTGAACCTAAATTCAAACTCTCCCCGGAGGGATTAATCGACTTTTAATGATCGGCGATCTTTACAAATTAAAAAAAACGTTGTTATATAGAAATTTAACTTCATTATTTAGAAGTAATTTTACATATATTTTTGGCCGAAGGAGCAGTGTATGATGCAAAAGTTTGTTATACGGAGAAATTCGCTATATGGAAGTTTGGCTGTATTAGTTTCTAGAAGGAATAAAATAGTTTTTCCTCTAATTATGATAATGTAATCTGACATATACTATAATCTACTGATAAAATTTAGTCAAATATTAGTAATAAGAGAAGAAATTCAAAAACAGTTTAATATTTATAATGTTTATTAAATAAACATCATAAATGTAAACAAACATTATTTTGAAAATAAGCAACGAAGAATCAGATTTAACATGATTGTAGTTAATTAGTTAATTTTAAAAAATATATAATAGAAAGTGTATTTAATTGAATTTTATACAGAAATATAAAGAATAAAATAAAGTTTAAAACCTAGACATTTCTGAATAATAAACTATAAAAGTATGTAGTAATTAATAACATGGAAGTGACCAGAAAAAAAAAACAGGTAAATAATTACACATAATTTGAACAATAAGTATAAAAATTGAGTTTAATTGGCTATATTTATATATAAAAATTTATATTTATTTCCAATCTATATATACACACAATAAATTTTATAATCAGATTTTAAGCATTGTTTCCAGTATGGATGATTACAGGTTTTAAATGGGGATTATTTAGGAAAGAACACACTGTGATCATGGTGATATGGTGGTTCTTAATTAAAAATTGAATTATTTACTTACCAGTATATATACTGTATATTTAAAGTTTTGTCATCAGTATTTTTAATTAATTAAAATTATTTCAATTGCTAAAAGATAACAACTTGTTATTTAGATATTTAAAATTGGATCATTGTATGTTCTTTTTGATTAAGAAATTTTATTATAAAAATTTTTTTTATTTTATAAACTCAGTTATAAGTATCTACATACTTTATCTTTTTAATTTTCTGATTATATAAATAATAGTAATAATAATAAATTAAATTTATCCATTAAAATTTGTATGGCAAATTTGAGAGGATGCTATAACTACAAATAGATCTTTTTGTTCGTAATTTTCATTTCCTGACAGCTTATCAAAATTTGTCAGGAACAGTCTTCTTCCTGTGAGTTTAGCTATTCCTTGTATATCACTGACAATATTATTTTTCTATTTTATCTGTTATTATAAATCATAGGTTTAAAACTGGATGTTTAATTTTGTATAAACTTTGTGAAATTAATTGTGTTTATATTATAAAACGATATGTTTTGCATTTATTAGCCAGTCCAGAATATTTTTCTGGACGTCTTTTTATATTTAAGTGTTTTCAAATGATTTAGAAAATGCCTATAGTGTATTGTTGCTAGACGGCCATTGGACTAAAGTGTTTTGAATCTATTCAAGGGCAAAACTTTAAAAACTGATTGAGTTTATGGAATTTTATATGAAATAGAGGGATTTTTTTTTTCTCAGAAATTGATACTATTGAAGATGAGCATTACGCTGAAAAAACACTAAGGATTAAGAATATTATAAGTGATTTGCTTTATTGATATAATAGTTTGTTGTTTCATTTTTGAAATTATTAAGATCTCATAAGATATATCTTTGAGAATACAGGTGTTATTAGAATGAAAATTATCAATGTTATTTCTCTGCATTTACAGACATTAGATTCATCCAACATTATTATTTATCAAAAACTAAAAGTTAATTAATTATGTTCATATAACATAACAAGTTTTAAAATATTTATTTACAACTACAAATTCTGAATATTATTTAAAAAGATATTGAAGCAAAGAATGAAAAAAATTGGTGTTAGAATTGGTTTCCCCCCCATTCTTTTCATAATTATATATGGTATATTTTTCATCTTACTTTAGATACACACTCAAAAGTGAAATCTCAACACCATGAAGAAATTTGTATACCCATATGCACATTATAGGGCTGGTAGAGGTGAGAGATAGGCAAATGATTAAAAGATTGATTAAATGGCTATGCAACAAATACCTGTTTATTCAGTAACGAATATGGCCCCCACAAGCAGCTATATAGGCTTCTATACTGATAGACAGACTATCAATGAGGTGATTAACAATTGCCTTAGATATCCCTTGTCAAGCTGTCCGCTGCAGCACGCATGTTGTCTATGGTATGTGGCGGTGGTCCCCAGTGCACCTCATGTCAGACAAGATTTCACAGGTGTTCGTTGGGAGAGACATCTGGCAAGGTTGCCAGCCAGGGAAAGATGTGAATTTTGTTCAGGCTGATGAGAGTTTGCCATGAGATGTGCAGTCGAGCATTGTCTTGCTGGAACACCGTGTTGGGTGTGGCCTGCACCAGTGGCCAAACCACAGGCCCTACAATTTGTGTGATGTACTGGTCGATTGTCAGAGTACCAGAAATGTACACCAGGGCTGTCTGTTGATTGAACATGGTGTCTGGTGTGGAGCCTGTGTGATGCTTGGCAAAAAGGTTCTGACAAGTAGCAGTCCCCGAGATACTGCCACACTCCTCCATGGCTGTCATTCTATCACAGACAGAAGCAGAATTTGTCCGTAATTAATATTTGATGTCATTCAGTGGTCCAGTTGCGATGAAGACAAACAATCAGTGGTATTCAGCTTGCTGACATCTCTGAGGCATTTTCTATAATAAATTTACCTACTAGCTTGAAGACTGTAAGATCAAATTCAATTCATATTTTCATAATTTTCCATACAGTTCAAACTGGATCTTTGTTGTTTTTATTATTTTTTCCCATCTATACTGTCAGCTTTATTGTGGGCTGTGTTCTTCTGTAATGGACAGAATTAAGAATTAAATTATTCATATTCAGTACAATTAAAAATTCTCAATTATAGCTAATAGTACGTAAACATTATTTATAATATAATTTAAAACATTGTTTTTTCTTCTTTCAGATTTTCTTGGAGTACTATATAATCGAAAAATGAATGTTTTTGCAAAGATTAAAAGAATGAAAATATTTTAAAAAGAAAAATTTTTGTATAATACTAAAGAACAAAATGGAAAGAGTGGCAATATCTCTTCACTTTATTCCTTATTTTTCCTTATTTTTATTTGTATTAATTTCTAAATCAGCTGCAAATTGCTGGGACAAAGAGAAAAGTGTGGGCAAGTATAGAAATTTTTATTTACCATAATTGATAAATGCAATTAATTTCAAAATTATTTAAAATGATTTTTCATATTATATAGTAATACAGTATACTAATTTTTTTTAATGTAATATAATAGATATGACTGAAGACATTGACATAGAAGTGGGATCGCCTTTCACATTGAACTGTACTTTGCATCGAGAAAGTATAATTATAGATGAGAATAAATATTATGCAAATGCTTCTTATATTATTTTCAAGAAAGGCGATAGACTTATTGAACATGCAGAAAAAATTGTGGTTTCTCCATTAACTGCTCTGCTTAAAGTAAATGTTAGTGAAGCTAATGATACTGGATATTATAATTGTATTATAAAATTACCTGATACCAAGAAAGATATTACTATATGTAGCAGTCGTGTTTGCATTGGTTGTAAGTATTATCAATTGTTATTTTCAGTAATTAGATGAAAATTTAATTTATCTATCTGTAAGAAAAAAAAAAATTTTATTTAATTCAGAAAATTTCATTTAACAAAATATAAATTACAAAAACAAAAGCAAAAAATTTATTAAAATTCATAAAATAAACAATTGTAAATAACTATCTTTCATTGTACACAAAAAATAAATTATATTCATCTTCACTACAATCTTCCAAACAACAATTTGCTAATAATCTTTATTTGCGAATGGCTGGATGTTTTCGTCACTTGAAATTTTTTGGATATCGCTATAACTTCTTTGGATTCTTCTGCTGGTTTATTTTTCAAGAAGTCAGATATGAGAGTCTGCTGAGTGCTTTGTTGCAATTGTTTTTGTATTACACTTAATATATTTTCAATTGTCTTTGAAATTTCCTGGAGTGCTCAATGGAGGATCATTATCCATCGTAAAATTTATTTGCCAAGTTAGTTTTCTTAATTTTTGTAAAGTGTATTCCTTAGCAGATTTACCATAATTTTTGGCTGAACTGTTTTCATCAATACTCTCTATGTATTTTAGATCATTGTCATTTAATAATTGTACTAATTCTTCCTCGTATAAATTATCCACCTCGTTTAATTTATGATATCGTTTTCATTCATATCATAAAAACCCTCTCCACCAAAAGTGTGATAGGCATTTACTATACAATGTAAAATTGCATACTCATTAACACAGAATAGTTTATTAGATTTGCTAACAAGATTGCCATGAAAAATAAGTCTCTTGTCATCACAGAGAAAAGCTTTCACCATATATGGAGATAATACACAATCTACATTGGTAAACTACTGTTTGCTGAAAGAATAAGGTAAACAAGTGATTTTATATGACCTCTTATATCAAAATCGTTTTGTATAAGTACAGCATTATACAAGGATTACTACAGTTTGTGAACTGTGTTATATCTAAACCATGCTGTATAAGTACCATCTTACACAGAAGTTACCTGTATTTTTTTATTTTAGTTTTTATAATTCATATTTTAAAACTTATTTTTACTTTCCTGGCTCTGTTATATATAACAGAGGGAAAGTACAGCAGTCAGTCAAGAAGGACCCTCTCAGATATTTACATTTTTGGACTGACTTTGAAATGTCAAGAAATGCAAAAAGAATTTGGGGGTTTTTCTGTATGTGTTGATGTTAGTGTGTGTATGTATATGTGGTATGATTTTGTTCACCCTCTTTGAAGCTTAATAACTCCTGTGCTTTTTGTTGAAACTTTCTGAAATTTTTCAGGGAGATTGATACTAGTAAATTTTGGTGATTAAAGATCAAAAGGGTGGGGAGATAAAGAGAGTCGTGTTATATCTCCAGTAGGGTTGGGCTTAATGATGATTTTATTAGTTATTAGCATTTACAAATTTTTATAAAACTCATCCCTACCCTCAAAATTAAGCTTATTGTCATTTTATATTAGTTAAAAAAGGATTTTTTAAAAAAATATATCATAAGATGGCACTACCAAATGTTGCCAGGAAAGTTAAGCAACTCATTGCTGGATTTTTTATAGATATTTCTAAATTTTTATTTTAAACATAAAAATAATTCAATGTATAGAAAAATGTAAAGCCAAATGATTGCCAGATTAAATGTTGCTACATTACTGCAACTATTAATAATTAAATATTAAGTAATTAGGCACTAGAGGTAGGCATTACTGGACATCTCTTATTAAATTTAATAATTATTAAATTAAATTTATTATTATTAGCAGTAATGTAACCTGATTTAAAATAGCAATTGTTTAGCTTTAATATGATTGCCATTCTTTGAAATGTTAAAATTTTTTAATATAATGGCAGTTGAATAAATTAAAATAATTTAAAAATTAATATCTAATATATAGGTATAATATAATCTTACAGATAAACCAACACCACCTGTAAATTTTTCATGTAAAATTCTTCACTATAAAGCGTTACGATGTGGATGGTCAACTGAACCAAACAATGTTACTATAACATCAAAAATTTATCAAAAGCAAAATTCAAAACAGTAAGTCTAAATTTTATGTTTTACTAATATTATTGATCATTAATATAAACATATCCTTACAATGAATAAATTATATTCTGTGTTTATTATGTGACTACGATATCGTGAAGACTAAAATAATTCATTTTAATATTAGTGACTAAAATTAATTTTAATTTAAACTAATTGTAAGAAAATAAAAGGCTCAGAATAGGAAAACTATATAATTTTTTCAAACACATTAATATTTAGGCTAACATATATATGTTTTATTATTTATACTCATTCATTTTGATTATGTTGTATATGTTTACAACAAAATTGACAGAACTGTATATATTGTAAGCATAAAAGAAATAAATTATGTATGCTCATTAGCACTTCACTTGACTTCACAATTTGTTAAAATACTCATCCATCTTGTTTGTTTTGATGTTGCTTTTCTGTTATATATATAAGTTTAAGATGTAACCATTGACGGTTATTATGGTGCCGACTGGGGATGCAATCATGCCCTCGGCCAGATGGTGTGATTTAGCACTAGAGACGGCGCCTAACACCTCACTCTAATGCCAAATTCATTTCTAATTTATAATCATTATATCCAAATTTAGCCCGATCATTTGCGACAGTTATAGGTGTATATTTATATACAATAAATACCTTATCCATCCTTCACGTATGACTTATTTCTTGAGCAAGTGGAGTGTACTTGTTGATTTTTTCAGTGTGTTTTTATATTGTTATTACTATTAAATACTTATTTATACATTTACTTTTTACCTTAAAGTTTTTATTAGCATTCAGCATTATTAATTTGCACGTAAAATGTGAAAATGAAGTATATTATCATAGTCTTTATCGGTTGCAGATTCATGTCTCACTCCAGGCCGATTCTTTTGTTTCAGAATATTCTAAATTATTTAGTAAAATATTAATTTAATTTTAATTGTTAAATTTAACAAGAGATGGTGCGTAACATCTACCTCTAGTACCAAATTACTTAGAATTTAATTATTAATAGTAGGAATAAAGTAGCCTGATTCATTATGGTGATCAGTTAGCTTTGATTAAAAAACATTGTGCTTCGAGATGTTTATGTGATGATTTTAATAATGGACTTTCAGCTTTTCAATTTTTCAGATTTATTAAAACTCAAATTTAGTCAGTTAGATTTACTACATCAAAGAGAATCATTGTGAATATGGAAAAACTGTTATTTTACTAAAAATATTTTATAATGTTAGTAAACTTTAATTATGTTGTTAATTATTTATCAGATGTTTTAAATAGAATATAGAAATTGTTTTATTGTTTCTATTATATATTTCAGGATTGTTGATTACTACGTTGTGCTATTTNAGTCGGGGTAGCGTAAGTCAAGGTATTACTGTATTTTAAAATTACATCTTCCATTTTGCACTATTTTGCCAAAGTTAATCTTTATGTCAATAAACAAACAATAATAATAATAATAATAATAGTCTAAAATGTGCCTAAAATTAATTTATTTCTTTAATATGATAAAATTTACTGTATAATACAGAAACAAATCTTTTTTAAAATCTTCTTCCAAAAATGTTCATTGCAATAAAAATACTTTGTGTATAGCCCTGTAAAATGATTTTTGCAACTAAAATGTGTTGTAATTTTTTTTTTTCAGCAATGTTTTTTCAGTTCAGCAATGTCCACATAAAGAACGTATTTCAAGTAATTATTGGATGTGCGAGTGGAAGCTGACCTCCAATCCAGCTTTTAATCAGTTTATATTGGATTATGATTTTGTTGTTGAGTCGAGCAATAGTCTCGGATCCAGAGATGATACATTTAAGATGCATCGTGATGAAATTGGTAGGTTTACTTTTTGATTTTTTTTTTAAATGTAAACAAACAGAAAAACAAAATGAATATAACCGACATAAAATAGCATCATATTAAATTGTTTATATTTTGTGACATTCATATTTAGATTTATAACTAAAATAAGAATTTAGTGATTAGAATAATAGCAAAATTTTTACTAAAGGAACATTACTATAGAAATTATAGTTTTGTTCCTTATTCTTACCAATCTTATGACTTTTTTATAAAAAAAAAAACAGGTCTGATATTTCTTATTTATTTATTTAGATCAATCATCAAGGTATTTTTATCTAATATAATAAAATTATATTGACTTCACTTACTGATTCACTGGCACATATTTTTTTGTCAACATTGTTGTCTCAAAAGATGCATATTACATTTATAAATATCCATTTTAAAATATAAATATTTTCAATTTTTTTAATCTTGAAGTATTGTTAATTTTGTTTTTGTAAATTACTACATTTATATACTTCAGGAAGCCTTTAATAAAAAGTTGAAAGGGCTTATTTTTTGTTCATGCTTTTCTTCAAATTTAAAACTAATTTTCAATGTTTAAATTTATATCATCAAATTATATATACAAATTACAGCATTAAGTTTAATTATGTCTTATATTATTGTGCCTTTAGATAGAACTCAGCAAAGAGTAATTAGAAATCTTATTATGAACAATATTGGATTCTATAAATTCTATTGGATCTTTTTAATACACAGTAAGACCCCACTTAACGCGGGGATGTGTTCCTAGATGACAAAGCGCTAAACGAAACAGCGTTAAATGAGGTCATTTTAACAGAGTAAATAGGGGTAATGGATAAATAGTCTTGCTGTATCGATTAGGTTGAGTTTGATCAACCTAACGATATAGCAATAGGCTCTTCTCGTTGAGAATTCTTAGATACCTTCAGCCATAACTTTTTCCACACTTCGTTCATGCATTTATCAGTTAATTCTTGCCAAGCGAAGCCAATATTGCCTATGGCAGGGGTGGGCAAGCAAAAGTTCAGTGGGAGCCGAAATGTAGGTTTTGCAAAATGCATGGGAGCTGCAGGTCTGTACCATTTTATTATATAATATAAATATAATATAAAACAAATATTGAATTTTTTAAATAAACATATTTTCATAAAATTGTAAAAATAATACAGTAGAACCTCGATTATCCGGACTAATTGGGGATGAAGGTAGTCCGGATAAGGAAAAATCCGGATAATCGAAACAAATACTTTAATTTGTCTTTTAAAGATAATACAACACGTTTTCTTTTCGATGACATATCGGTAATATTAAAAGTAAATACTGTATTTAAACCGTGATCAAATTTTCAAGAAACAAACGTTCGTATTGAATTTGAACCTCTACTGACTAACACTAACAGACTACCTATTGTTTAAAAGGTCCTCTGGTGGCGCAAGAAGACGGATTTTATAAAATAAAAAGCAGTTGAAACTGCATTTTTATGAATAAAAATTTGACAAACTATTTATCGTTTCATGACGAGTAAAATTTTTTAGTCGCGTTCGCGGCTTTTAAGTAATGCATAAACCTTCGAGGCGCGAGGCCCTTCAGACGCGAGGCATAGGCGGTGGCTCACGTCGTCCATGCCTTACGCCGCCCTTGGTCATAGAAATGATGCAATTTGAATATAAATTATACGAATGTCAAGTTATATTTTTATTACTACGTAAAATATATTTAAGAGTTTATGACCACTGTGCTGGGTGAGACGTTGTTGAAACAAATAAAGTTATGCATTCCATCACGTACATAAACAGTATCGTAATTTGCCAAGTGCAAATCGGCAAATTCGTAAAATTTTTGTTTATTTTGAACAATCCGGATAATCGAAAATCCGGATAATGGAGGTCCGGATAATGGAGGTTCTACTGTATTAAAAAGCAGAAATTAACACTTTCAGCAAGAGCCGCATGTAACTCAAAAAGAGCCGCATGCAGCTCTTGAAGCTGCATTTTCCCATGTCTGGCCTATGGCATCCACAATGTTATATTTTTTCCAAAACAAATGTAGATTTAAAGAAAGTACACCTTTTTGCCAACTTTTTCTGATTGGTTCGTGTTCGTAAATAATCGTTTTATGTACGAATCAATAAAATGCTGCGATAATTTAAATCAGCGTAAATTTCGAGCAGGCGGTGTTATATCGAATCAGTGTTAAGCGAGGCAGCATTAAGTGGGGTCTTACTGTAAATAAAAATGCAAATGCTTATTTAATAAATAAAAAAAATTACTTTATTGGAACTTCATTTAGTAAACGAGCTCCAATAAAGCAATTTTTTGTTGTTAAGAAATTGGGAATTTTGTCTACGATTTTATAAACACTTAATCTGAACAGTTTTTAATAATTTGAATTTGAACACACACATTAGTTAATTTTTTTTAGCTCTTCTGCTCTGTAGGCACTAAAGAGGTTTTTTTTAGCAAGCCTTTTATGGGTTTGGCAAGGCCCACAGTGGGGTGGCTGGGTGTGAGATGAAACCAACGCATCCATATAGACCCCAAAAAATTCCAGGAATCCATCTAGTTTTGATTCTGGGTTTCCCCAGTGATAGGCCATATTGCTGACCTTCATTAGATGTTTATGAAATGACATGGATTACTAAAAATAATACATTTTATCAAAGTTTTTTAAGATATTTTTTAAAGTTGTGATTACGATATAGACAGACTAAACTAAAAAATTAATAATATAAAAATCTACAATTTGAATAATTAAATTTTTTGTATTTTGTATATTTCAGTATTGCCAGGTCCACCTAAACATTTAATATATCACAATTTGCAGCCAAAAAGTTTACTATTGGAATGGCAATATCCAGATGAAATGGAAAATTTTTTATCACGTCTTATTTATCAATTAGTATATTATAAAGTAAATAAAAACTTCACTAAAGATTTAAAAGTATGTATTTTTATAATTTTATAAAATATATTTAAAATTTCTAACACAATCTGTTTCTAATTTTATTCTATTATTTTTTTTTTTCTTGTATCAAAATAGCATTAAAATCTAAATATTAATAATTTTATTAAATTACATTAAATTGAATCACCATCTAATTAATTAATTCAAGATAAATAGGAGAAATTAAACTTAATTTCTATTTTTTTAATAATTTAGACATCAATGTTGTTGTTGATATACGCAGGTATCCTTTGTTTAACACAGTACATATGTTCCAAAAAAGTGCCATGTTACGTAAATTCGTGCTATACGAAACAACAAACTAGTGCAAAACATTGTTATGTTCCAGAAGTTAAAGTATGCCATTACTAAGAGAAATATGTTTATTAAAGCAATCAATACGTTAATTCTAATCAATAATTAACTAACAAGCACAATTAAAAGTACTGTTAATACTAATTTTGGTTAAACGAGGGCATTTTCTTTTTTCAAACTATTGTCATCACCTGAGCTTTTTTTTTTGTTTATCCTGATCAGAAATATCAGCAAATCTTCATTTTTTATTTTTATCGGAATTTTCTATGGATGACAAAATAAAAATATGTTATTAATTGATGATTTGTTCTAGTGGGTTGTGTTTGTTTAGTTGAGTAGCAAACGATTCCCCCAGAATTTGTGCTTGAATACAGAATTGTTCTAGTCGGGAACAGTTCAAATATCAAGATACCACTGTGTTTCATTTGTCATTTTTATGAATGATTACTTACCTAAAATTAAAAAAAAGTTTAATAACATTTACCTAAATATATTTAAATAAACTTTACTAAATACAAAGATTAATCTATAAAAACAAAACACAGTGACAGTCTTAAAGGCTAAAATCTGAAAGCTACAATGATGACACCTGATTGACGGGAAAGCAAGGAAAGGAAGAAAAAAATTCTGTTTCATTAAACCTGATGAAAGACACAAAACATATTGAAAATTTCAATATTCTAAAATTCATGGGCAAATTTGAGACAACACGTGTGCTTATTTGAATAAAAAAAAATATTGAATAATGAAGTTTACACTTAAAAATTGTGAAATTTTGTACTGAGAATTTTCAAAACTGTGTTAGAACGAAACCGGAAGTCATGTTGTATGGGAGATATCCTCAATTTTCAAACCATGTTAGAACAAAACAGTTGTAGAAGTACCGTGTTGTATGAGGGATACCTTTATATCACTACTAATTATTAAATGGTTTCTTATTAATTTTTTTTTATTAATTGTTAATTTAAGATTTAATCACTTGTAGAAACATTAAAATCAAAAACTGGAGTGAATATTATTACTTTTTAATTTGTTAAAAAAAAAAAAACATTTTAAGTTGTTTATTCTGCTCCAGTCTGTTTTAAATGATAAAGTTTCAATGGAAAGATTAAATGTTAGATTATTAAATAAACAGTATTATTATACCATAAAACTTAAAATAAAATGAAGAACAATAAGTTTAATTTTTAGAATATTAAAAAATCAAATAATATAATTTAAATGATTTCTAGATATCCAGAAACAGAACTCAAAATGAGATTCCAGAGACAGTGCTTCCAGAGATAAGTATTGTCTCTGGAAAAACAATCTTTATTCAGTTACTAAAATATATTTCTGAAATTTATAGTAGATTAAAATTACTGATAGATTGTTTTATACGTACCTATAGTTTACAGAGCAGTTTTAATTGTTAATTTCTTTTTATACTGTCATTAGTAACTTCAACAATGTATTTCTGTATTTGAATGATATTATAATACAAAACTGGATGCCTATGTTTGTTTTAATTTCATAGGCACTACATTTATATTAATTTATATACAGTAAGTCCTTGCTTAACATCATCTACAGGTGTTTTTTGGAAATTGCAACTTTATGCAAAGCAATTTATAATGAACCAATTTTACCATAAGCTAATTGATATAAACGAGAGTTAAATTTCTATGGATAATTTCTTGTTACAAAACATCCTTAGATTTCTAAATAAAGACCTAAAACACTTCTAATATTAAACATTGAAATAAATGAGCTATATGCAAAGATTAATAAATACAAATAAGATAATTATTTACTCAATTTTTGGTGAATTCATAAGAACCAGCAGTCATGAGAGGGTGTAATTATCTAAAACTTATCATTGATGATGGGTGAATTTCCACTTGTAGAATCAATTTTACTGTTTATAAAGAAATTTCAAGAACTACAATTACAAATGTACTTGTAATTTTTTTCTCATAAACATTATAATAAAACAATGTTAATGAGGACTTACCGAACATATTTATTTCAACTCTGTCTATATTATAGTATTTGTATATAATATTTTGATTATAATTGCAGGTTATTAATGTTACGAGTAACGAAAAACATATATTTTATAATATTACAAATTTAATACCACATATGCAATACAAATTTGAAGTTCGATGCCGCTCAAATGCTTCCAAAGGTGATGACATGTGGAGTAAGAATGAAACAATAGTTATTCAAACTAAAGAAGATGGTAATAAATTTCTTATTTATCTAAATATTGAGGTGCATTTATTCAAGAATTTCATTAAAATAATCAATTTTTCAGTTCCTTATATTGTGCCAGAAATAATAAAAGAAGCTTTTGAAGTTCAGAAGTCAGAAAATAATTATAGAATTACCCTTTATTGGAAAGTAATGAAACATATATAATTTTTTTTTTTTGTATTTATATATACTTGATATGTATTACAATAATTAAAATACATTAAAGTTTTACCCTGTTTTTGCTCTATTTTAATGAAAATTATTTTTAATAGCCCGTACCTGAAGAATTTAGGAATGGAAAAAACTTCTTCTACGTGGTGACTTATACACCGTTAAATATATCATACGAAGAAAGCAATATTGTATCGTATAAAAACAAAATCAATTCATCATCATCACATGTCACTTTCAGTAACCTCAATTCAAGTATAGCATACGAATTTCAAATATATTCTGCTAATAATAATGGTATTTCGGAAAAATCAAACTCTATTGTGGTGGACAAATGGGATAATTGTAAGTTGTTTAATCATGAATATTTTTGAAATTTAGATAAATATTTACACTGTTTTTTATATGTTTTGTTAAACATTTATATTATTTACAGTCTATTCAAATTAATATGTTTAAATTAGATTATCATGAATGAATGTTATGTAGAATTTGTATGCTATTAGATTATTTATTTTTACTAATTTTATTTTATTTTAAAACATTTTTTTTTGCCCATTTTTTTAGTATTACCATCTCCTGTTGACGTTGCTGTGATATCATACGGTCAGGATTATTTCAATATATCTTGGAAACCAGTTTATAAAACAGAAAACCTAATTAAAGGTTATACAATATTTTGGTGTACTAATCTACCAAGATCTTATAACCTCCTTTCTAAACCATGTAATGGTTCCATTCATTGGAAGCACGTTTCAGCAAAGACAACTTCGATAAAACATCCAATGTCAGATCTCCAAACGAATATAAAGTTTGCTGTAGCAGCAGTTTCAAACTCTTCATCTTCAGGGATGGTATGGGCACCTTGCATGATTTCATATAATGACAGTAAGTATTATATAAAGTATTTTTATGAAGCATTAGTTGTTTACTGCATTTTAAATCTTAGTTTTTTTTAGTAATTTGAAATTTTCTTTTTGAAAATAATGAAAAAATTTGGTATTTAACATCAAAATAAATTATTTAAGGTGCATCCCATAAATATAGGTCCACTTTGAAAAACAGTAACAAAACATGAATAAAAAATTTCTTAATGCCCACTGTGACATCCTTGAGCCAAAATTAAATTAAATATCTGATTAGGCATTGATTTCATTAAAGTTTGCAAAGTCTTTTTCTTCAATTTCCTTCCATTTAGTTAATATTGCATTCTTCAGTTCCTATAATATTGCTGGCCTCTTGCATACACAGCTCTAGTAAGTATTTCCCACAGGTTCTCAATGTGGTTGAGATTGGGACTGCAAGGTAGCTAGTCCAAAATTAGCACTTCATTACGCAAAAACCATTCATAAGTGGACTTAGCATTGTATATTGAGGCATTGTCCTTTTGGTAGATCCATCATGGGCATTCAATTTTCTCTGCAAATGGTAAGAGATGTTTCTCTAGCATTTCTTGATAGCCATTTACATTCATTTGGCCCTGTATGAATGTCACATTACAAGTTCCCTTTCATCTGAATGATGCCCATATCATCACAAAACTGCCACCTTGTTGACATTTTGAACATATCTGTTCTTCTCATCTTAAACTGTGTTAACAATCCACATAGGCCATCCAAATTAAAAACTTTTTTCATCACTCCATATAATTCTTTTATTTTTCTTTCCAAAATATCATTTCTTTGGCTCATTTTAATCACTCCTGCTTGTGTGCTTTCGTTAAGGCAGAAGTGATTTTTCTTTGATCAAAGAAATTGTTTTTTTTTTCTTTTTTGTAATTTATATGTAAATTATTTTTCAAAGAAAAATGAGGAAATATTTCTCCATTGCAAGAAATTAAAAAAACATAATAAAATTAATTATTATAATTTTAGATTTGATTAATTTTTAAATAATTTTATAATATTTATTATGAAGATATTTAATTTTATTAAAATTATTTAAAAATTTAATTTTAATTACAGCTGTTGTGAAGATCAGAGAACCATTTTCCATTACTGCAAAAAACTTTTCTACTATACATATTGCTTGGAGTTTTGATTGTAATGCTCAGAAAGTTTTAATAAAAGAATTTTATATTATTTATTGTCGAGCAAAAGACGAGAGAAGTAATTGCATTGGTAAGATTTTTAAGTATTGTATTTAAAACAAGATAATGATTACATAAAAATCAAGTAATAATAATGATAACTATGTTAAAACTATCAATTAATGTTTATTTTATAATGATTTATCAGAAACTATTTTACAAATTTAATACATATGTATGTTAATATTACATATATATATAATTTAAACTGAACTTTAATTATATCACTGAAATTACATTAGATTAATAATTCAAAAACATTTATTAATAATAGAATAGTTAAACAATATAAGAGAGCCTATTTATATTGGCTATACTGGAATTTTGTAAGATTTAAAAAAGATTGTTTTAAAGATTTAACTTGATTTATCTAAATAAATAAGTATTATAATCTTAAAGTTAGTGTTAATTTGCAATATTATAATGATAGGAAAAACATTTTAAACATACAATAAAAGTTATATAAATATAAAAATATATATAAAAATATATAATATATAAAAATGTTTTAATTCAAATATATTTCTTTACAATAGATAAGGATTCAAATTCATTTTTTATTAAATTTTAAATTTATTTCAACTCTATAGATAATAAATTACAATCAAAGATTCATTATTGTAGAACACTTGGTGTTGCTTGGCTCCATAAAACATGTATTTTTTAATATTTATCATATTGGGGTAAAAGTTTAAACTTAAAGCTCTCTTTCAGCGGTTTCCAAACTTTTATTACAGCTCCCGTAACCTTTTGTCAACTGGCTGCAGCTTCCATTATATACTGTATGCATAGATGATATAAACAAATAAAAGAAAATGATAGTCCTTCGGCATAGAATAAATACTATATTTATATTTTATAAAATGTATTTTTAATACAATTATTTTCATACTAGAAGCTTTGCCCCCTCACTCACCCCACAAGCTTTGCTTACTTGTTTGAAAATTTCTTGATTCGTTGCTTTCTCATACCACTATTTCTATTTTTTCCCGACAACAGAAAAAGCGTATCGATGATTTTAATCTAATAATTTTGATTTATGTAGAGTAGATGGCACTCATTTATTATAAATTTTAACTCGTAAGATGATCCACAAAACAGAAGTAAAAATGTCTATAAGAAACTGTATCTGTCATTTTATTTCCCCTTTTTTTTCTACTAACAGAGAAATAACATTACATAATTTTGGGAGTAAAAAATAGAAAAAGGCTTGTATTTATTTAAATTACTAATAATTAATGTCTAGCTGCTGTATTTCCTCTTCTTTCTAAAGCATTTGATTTGAGATCCATTTCATGTTGTCAGGTAACTCTAAATATATATATATATAGTTTTTTAATTAAAATTAAGCTTAAAACCATTTAGCTAAATTTTTCTTTTAACTTAAAATGAACAAATCAAACATATCAAGACATTATATATATTATCCTACATCCAATATATTAATGTAATAATAATGTAACGTAAAATAAAAAATGTGTGGCATTGATTTGGTAATACTAATATACTTATGTATTTCAGACAAAATATATTCACATAAGTTAGAAAATAAGAGTGAAGAACATTATTATATAACTGGACTGGCTTCAAAAACATATTATTGTATCTTCATTAGAATTATTACTACAAATGGCAAGAAAATAGACAGTACTCATCAATTTGTACAAACGCCATCCGAAGGTATGTATAATTAATGGAATTATTATTGTATTTATTTAAAAAGATTAAAATATTGTTATGTATCATATACTTACATTTCACTTAAATATTTTTAATGTATTAAATAAATTAATTTGCAGTAATTTTCAATTAATAAAGTCATAATTAAACTTTGTATATGTATATAAACAATAGTTACTATGAATACTTCTAAATTATAATAAAATTAGTACAGAATCAATATTATATTACTTATTCAATATATTCAATGACACTTAGTAGTATTTTTCCAGAACCCACTCTCAAAAAGAGGTACTCTTTCATATATGGATGTTGTTGAGTCTGGCTTCTGGGAAAAAAACCACTACAGAAGTTTCATTGAATATACAAGTAACAGCAAATAAGTAGAAAAAGAAAAATTATATTATTTATTTATAATTTTAACTTGTGCTTTCTTTTAAAATTAAATGAACTTAGGCTTAAGAAATTGTGAAAAACAATTTAAAAACCAAACATTGATTACAACAGTAAAGTTTAAAGAAACGTGCATTTCTATGTAACTGAATTTTTAAATAGATTAATACATAATTTTTATATATTTAAACTAAAAATTGCTTTGTTAGGCTAATAAATATCAATCAGAAATGTTTTACTTTTTGTATAAGAAATAAAATTATTTAATAATAATAAATTGACACATCTATCTTTATTGACAAGACATAGTCTTGTCAATATTGTTACAAGACATTATTGACAAGACTATGTCTTGTTTATAAAATTGTACTGCCTGCTATGTTACTAGCTTAGAGGTATGAAGGAGTACATGTCAGGAGTTGCAATTTGGCACAGAGTATTATGTGCCAAAATCATGCGTGCATAAAAAAAACCAGACTTGTAGGTACTCAGGGGACCGAGAACCGAGTCAAAATAAAATACAAAATGGCGACTCTCTCTACAAACAGACAAACCAAAGTCAGGTGGTGAGAGTACCACCCACAGTCGTTCTAGGAAGTGGACTCTGACCTAGGACTGAACGCGTAGTATTTTCTTTATTAAATAAAATTTGTAATCTAATTTTGTAAATTTGGGAGTGTTTCAAATGTGACATTAAAACAGTGTTTTATGTCATTACAAGTATGTTTTTTTAACATTATCTAGTATAGTAAAATCGTGGTACTGATAAAAATTTGACATTATATTAGGGTTGTCATTACTTCCGATGATGTTATAATTGGGTTAAACTGTATATTGATAATCAATGGATTGATATTCACGCCAAACACTGTATAGTAAGACGGAGAAATCACTAAATACATGCAACACTCCCACTCTTGACCTGCCCAGTTTATGGGTCACGCTGTATGAGCAGTTAAACAACTATTATTATCCTCCATCATTTGTATAACATGAGTTTAGATCCACGCATGTGCCGCTTTGCATATTACATAACTTACTGCTCGTTTAATTTCGAACATACTTGAATATTTGTTGCTTGTTCCTAACGGTTTGTCAAAAGTTTTAATTTTGAATTATATGCATTCTGCTCTTCATTGAATTATTTCTGTTCATTTTTATTAATTTCTGTATTCGTCTGATGACAACGACATTAGGATCGTCGAAAATACTTGCGATAAATGCACATATAATGCTGATCTCAGTGATTTCTCTGTCCTGCTATACTGTATATTGTTTGTGCAAAATAAAAAAATGATGTTGGACGATACAATAGCAATGATTATTTTTTCAAAAATGGGAAATTTTCGTTATGCATCGACAAAAATTCAACCCGGGCCGACAGCCAACGGAAAGAAATTTCGAAATTGGATAGGTTAATTTCATCAAAAATGCATCGTGGATGACCTCGTGGTCGTGGCCAGCAAAGTTTGAACGATTGCGCCCAAAAGCAGCGATAGCAAAGAAGATTGGAGAATGAGAACGAGACCCGCCTTGAGCGTCAAAGTGATTCCGCTTAGTAATGAGTCTCTGAGACATAGTCTTGTCTCAAATACAATTTTGCCATTTTACTTCTTTGTTGATATGTAAATTTTTAAGCTCTCTAACTGCTTGAGGAAGTGATCTCTTGTTATCAATCTAACCACTGTCATATCACAGTTACGGAATTATCGCAGACTGCTGATAGATAAATGTGCATAATTTTATTGTTCATCCAAAAAAATAAATCATTTTTTCACTTGTAGTATTAGGTTGATTAATATCAATTTTCAACTTTATATAAAGTTTATTTTAAAAATTAGTCAGTATAAAAACACGTTCTTTAAATTCTATATTTTGCTTTATTCAATGCTCCATTTTTACTCATTGTTCATAGCTAGTTAACCTTGAAGAAGTTCATTTAAATTTGGATGAAAGTACTTATAAATTAAATGTAAGTAATATAAATTAACTGGTACATCTAACAATTAGAGATGCCATACACTACAGACTTTCTGTAGTTTCTAAGGAAGGACTTACAGTTAACCTTCTATACTATGGACTACTATGAATAAACTATGGACTTACAGTTAACCTTCTAAAAACTATGGAACAATCTTTTATACTCTTCAATAAGTGTGTTTATACAACAACATATGTGGATATTAGCTCTTTGTCTGCATAGAATTGCCAGTATGCTGAGCCTCAAACCAATCAGTTTGTTCAAAACCAATGACAAGGAATGTACAGAAAGCAAGTTCTTCCAGTTTGTAAACAGTTAACTTGTTCCTATGCAAGACCGAGTTGCATGGTTGCTTTCATTCAGAAAAGACTTGCACTCGCATCTAAAAATGACATATGCTCTTCTGATATCACGATAAGACTTATTGGAAGAAACTGTTACAGAGTTCAGCTTATAAATTGATTGATCTTTTCATTATTTTCCTTTTTGAAAATGGCATCCATATTTTATGATATTTTTATTTTATTAATATATTTTTAGTGTAAGAAACAGGTAGATGCTGTTTATAAATTTATGGTAAAACTTCTGTTTAGCCGTTTAAAAACTTTTTCTGAACTGTCTTGATTAAACACAATTCATTAATTTGCAGGTTCTCTGTGTGGGGAATGAATGGATATTTCATTTTTAATTCCAGCTGACATGTAAATTCACTCATTAAATCGTCAAAAAGAGTTTTGAAATTAAAACAAATTTTTTTGTTGGCTCTTTTTTTGTCTTGGTTTTTTGTAAATGTAGAAGCAGTGGTTCAGTTTACTCATGCACATGGTATATAATCTATTTGTATGTTCCAAGAAAGATACATTACCTACAAGTATTTTATATTTTAATAATAAATAAACTAAGTAATTAATTAAAAATAAATTTCTATATGTTGTTTAATTGTTTTGTATTCATTAAATACCTTCAATTAGAGAAGTATAATGTCTTACTTAAATCAGAATAGCACTCACTTGTATGCAGTTTATAGATAATCAAAAGTAGCTATACTTTCTGGGTTGTGCTTAATATTTGTTTGTAGTTTATGGTACAAAGCATAGTCATTTAGCAATATTATAAAGATAAATGAAGTACAGTAGAACCTCTATTATCCGGATTTTCGATTATCCGGATTGTTCAAAATAAACAAAAATTTTATGAATTTGCTGATTTGAACTAGGCAAATTACGATACTGTTTATATACGTGATGGAATGCATAACTTTTTTGTTTCAACAACGTCTCACCCGGCACAGTAGCCGTAAACTCTTAAATATATTTTGCGTCATAATAAAAATATAACTTGACGTACGTATTTATAAATAATTTTATTTTCAAATTACATCATTTCTATGACCAAGGACGACGTAAGGCATGGGCAACGTGGGCCACCGCCTATGCCTCGCGGTCCAAAGGGCCTCGCGTTTCGAAGGTTTATGCATTACTTAAAAACCGCGAACGCGACGAAAAAATTTTACTCATCATAAAACGATAAATAGTTTGTCAAATTTTTATTCATAAAAATGCAGTTTCAACTGCTTTTTATTTCATAAAATCCGTCTTCTTGCGCTACCAGTGGGCCTTTTAAATAATAGGTAGTCTGTTAGCATTAGTATTGAATTTGGACTACTACTGCGTTGGTCAGTAGTAGTCCAAATTCAATACGAACGTTTGTTTCTTGAAAATTTGATAACAATTTAAATACAGTATTTACTTTTAATATTACCAATATGTCATCGAAAAGAAAATGTGTTGTATTATCATTAAAATACAAAGTGTTTGTCTCGATTATCCGAATTTTTCCTTATCCGGACTACCTTCATCCCCAATTAGTCCGGATAATCGAGGTTCTACTGTATTTGATACCATTAAGCTTAAAATTGCAGCAATGGCCATCCACCCCCACTGCTACTGATGGCCCTCTTCTCAGAGTGACATTTTTAGTTAGTAAAATAGGGGATATCAACATTATTATAATTTACATTTTTACTACTTTCTAGCTGCCAATCAATTTTCCAATGCACACTTTTTTATCTTTCTATTTTCATTTGTTAACATATAATATTCTCAAGTGATAGCAACGTACATAGATAATAATTATAAATAGATTAGTTTTATTTATATATTATGTTAGTATAAATTGTAAATTATGCTAGTTTCCATTATTTTCTGAATACAAGTATTATATTATATATAAATTTCTAATACAGTTTATTTTTTAATAATTTAAAAATTATTAATGCATGTATTAATTCTATTATTAACACAATTCATGAATAACTATCTAAACAGGATATAGTTTCCTGTTTGGTTATCCAATTCCTTCAATACAATTTTATATCTATTTTTACGTATTCATTTAAATGTGAGTCTATTGTAGCGGTTATATAAGATACTGGCTATTTAGTATTCAAAATTATAATTAATAAAAAAATATATATATAGATATATATATGAAAAATAACTGAATTTAATTTATTTCAATTTTGTTAATTAAATTACTTTACTTTTTGAGGTACCTCTCCAGAAATGATTGTCAGTATCATTGTTGGCGTGTCCTTCACTTGCATTTGTTTAACGTTCATAATTTGTTTTCTTGTGAAATGGTGAGTATAATTTTTACTTATTTTATATTATTTATATAAAATAATATAATAATCACATAGATATTACAGAATTTAAGTGTGTAGGTTTTAGGTTAGGTAATTTTAGATCTCTTTTATGTAATAATTTGAAAAATTGTAATTGGCAATCCATATGCTTAGCTGTTTAATTAACCGATATCGTGTCTAATTTTTGTGTATGTAAGGTTATTAAGTTTGCATTGAAAATTCTATTACCACTAAGAGCCTTGATTAAACATAATTCATTAATTTGCAAATTTAACAAGCCAAGCCAATACAAAAAAACAAGCCAAATAAACAGTTTGAAGACTCTAAAATTTTTTCTCTCAAATTATTATTTTCTTTTGTTGGATCTGTTGAAGTTAGATAAAAATTAAAGCTTTTTATGTGAAAAAAACAAACTAGAAACCTGATATAAGTCATTAGTTATAAAAAGAATTGGGAATTTTTAAAGTTTAACTAGATTATTTTTAACCCAATAGAAATTAATTACTTAAAAATATAGCCTTGAAGTTAAGTAATCTACATATATTATCAACTGATAATTTTAATGAATAAACAATTTGACATTTTTAATTAATAATTTTGACATAACTGGAGGAAAATTTTTACTTTGATTAATAATCTATATTGCCATCCAATTACGCAAGCAGTTTATTTTGAAATGGGGAGAGTCCATTTGTTGTTATTTTGATATATTTAAGGATTTGCATTTCAATAGATTTTTTAAAAACTTGATATATACTAATAGGAAACTTTCATGTATTTTATGGTGTTAGATAATGAAAATTCATTATCCAATAGAGTTGTTGATGATAGCTGAAGAAAATAAAGATTTTATTATACTTAAGTGAACTTAATGAATTATTGTAAATGTTAAACTGTTAATATTTCAGTTCAATCAGCCTTATTTTTAATAACAACAACAAAATATTATATTTTATTTAACGTGTTAACCGCCATCCGACATGCTGGCGGTCACACATCTGTTCTGCATTATTTTAAATTAAAACATTTTCTTTTGTCTAATTTTGATTATTCTTCATTAAATTTATTATTATTAATTATATATAAAACTAGTATTGTTTATAAGGAATTATTATAAACTCCAACATAGTATCACATAGCAATGTGAAATGATGAGGATGGTTTGCCACATGTAATTAGGAGCAAAGTCTTTACTATCAGATGTAATTATGTGAAAATCTAAGTTCTTTTGTGTAAAGAGTACAATTTAAGTTTGGAACTTGTTACATTACTTTCTTTAAGTCCTGCAATTAAAATAGCAGGACTTAAAAGAAATTTCATAATATGATTTTTAGTAACACAAATATTAATTAAATAATATATGTAATTATTACTGTGTAATATTTTAATAGGATGAAAAAGAAATATGATGCAGTGAAGGGAATTAAAATAAAATTACCAGAAGGTCTTAATGTAAGTTGCTATTCAATTTATCATTACATACTGATAAGAAAATATTTTTTTAATAAGGAAATACTTTTTATACATGTGACAAAGTAAGATTAAGGTAAAATAATAAATCAAACGATTGTCATAACTAATTGGGTTAATTAAGTGCTATTATTAATGATTAACTATTAAACAAACAACATCAATTAACTATCGATTAACTATTAAGTAATTTGGTACTAGAGGTAAGCATTAGGCATCCTCTCTTATTAAATTTAAATTAAGGTAAAAAAACTAGTCAAAACAAAACATGATTTGATAACAGATGTGATTGCATTCAAACAGATATCACGTTATTTGTGAAAAAGCCTAATCTTAATAACAAATATAGATAAATCTTTATACTCATTGAAAATGATTTGATACCATTTATATGATTTGTTTATGAAACAAAACACCCTAAAGAACAAAAACTGACTTCATTAAATACTTTAATCAAGGAAAAATCAGGATTTTTCCATGATTAAAGTACCATATTTACTTGCATATAAGACAACCTCGCATATAGGACAAGGCGTGACTTAGTTCAAAATAAAGAAAATTATATTTATTAATACAATTCTAATTTTATTTCGTTTAATCACAAGTAAAGTATGAAATGAATGTAAATGCATACATTTTTCCACAAAAATTACTGGCATTATAAATTTTAAGGAAAAATCTTGTAAAATCGACAACATAATTTGTTCACATAAAGCTGGACAATCTGGAACCTTTTTTTGCCAATTCTTAACAGTCGAATCCACTCTCCGTCAGTTATACTTATGAGTTTTCCAAATTCTGATTTCTGAATAATCATCTGTTTTCATGTGGGAAACTTATATCGTGCGCTCGTGTGAATTTGGAATTTTCATCTGGAATTCAATTCGAAAGCGTTGCTTCTCCTATTGCTATTCATCTTTACTCCTGACAATATACAAGAACGATTCAAACAACCCAGATAAAATACTTGTTTTTAAATACAAGAGGGTAAGCATCCGGTAAAAAAATGCGAATACACAGTTCACAAAAATTATTTGCAAAAACACAAAGAATCTTTTGCTCGGGCGTTAGGACGACCTAGGAATTTGAAGCTGTGATAAATGAATAAAAACCTTGTCTTATATGCGAGTAAATACGGTACATACTGGAGTTATTTTTGGTTCTTTAGAATATTTTGCTTCATATACTTACACTCCAGTTTAAAGTTCTGGATAATGACTTATTTATTTAATTATAATAATTTCCCCATGAGAGAAACCTCATATAGTTTCTTAAAAATTTCCTCTGTTTCCTTTTCTAAATGAAATGTTTTTGAATATTCAGAACTATCATTTAGAAAAGGAAACAGAAGAATATATATATATTTTAAAATTTAATCGATATATTAAAATTTTTTAGATTGTTGAAGATAATTCTGATGTAAAAAGTCTTAGGTTTGATTATTTAGAACTTTCAAGAGACAGCTTGAAAGTGCTTAATAATAATCAAACCTAAGATTTCTTATATATAAACCCAGGATTTTATTTATCATAATGAACTCAGTTTAAGCAGGAACTTTATGTAATATTAAGTAATAAAGTTTTTAGTATTTTTTCTTTTTAATTTAAATAATTTAAGTAATAAACATAATGCAGTATCATGTAAAATCATTTGATATCATTTCTATATTTAGAAATATCCAAAATTTTTAAGAATTTATTTATGTTAATAAAAGAAACGACTTCATACTTTATCAGATTATTATTATGTTTACACAATTATACACAATGTTTACATGGAAACCAAGTGAGATTATATTTATCTTAATTTTTCATAAAGATCATTTTAGATATAGCATGTTTCACTTATGTGTTCGTTAATCGGAAATTTTAATTTTAGGGCCCCTTAGGATCATACGAAAACTTTAAAAAAGGTTTATTACAACAAAATACAAGCTTACCTCCACTGAAACCAAGACCTGGCTCTTTTGTTTTGGATAATAATAAAAATAGGTGCATATCTACACTCAGTAATAGTTCTGCAGAAGAGGTAAGTACAATTATTAAATAATCTTCAAATCATTTCCTTTATACAGATAAATAACTTTATAAAGTTGAATAAAGGTGTTTGACTGAATTGAAGTTATAGTATTAAATTAAAGCTAGCATATAAAATAAAAATAAATATTAATAATAGTTGTAAAGTGCATGAAAGTTATTGCAGGAATTACATAGTCCTAGTTGATAAGAATCATCATTCTGATTTGATTATAGCGGTATTTCTAGAAATGGAAAGATTTATCTCTTAAATTGACATAAATTAGAAAAAATTATATTGCAAGTACAAGATAACATATCTTGTTGAAATTTCTTTTTCAAAATTCAAAATAATACAAACATAATCAAGCAGCAAATGTCATTTATTAAAAATAACTGCAAAATACAAACTTTGAATTCAGATAAAATTCCTTTAAAATATATCCCAACTAAAATGTCTTCAAAGCAGAATATTCTTTGGCAGAACAAAGAGTTTTATTCTGATTCTATATAATATTTAAAAACTCGCATTCAGTCATCAGAGTCAAAGTTTAAACCATACCTGTTATTCAAAATAATTACTTAGTATTCAATTTTATTTATCGAACTTTAATTACATTGCCGTAACCATACACTGTTCTCCTAAATAATAATAATTGTTAATATAAAAATTCTTAGTTTGATTCTATATCAGCTTATTTGTTTTGCCAACATCTACATACCACATCAATTATAGAATACCATTTCCTTATCATTTGACTTTATTTAGAAAGATTTCCTGTAATTTTGCATTATTATCTATATAATAGATTTCATCCTAACAGTTGTAAACTTGAAATAAATACCTTATTCTTTTGTATTACAGCAATAAATAAGATTTTAGAAATATTCCCTTATATTTAAGTAGTAGTAGTAGTTAGAAAACACAATAAGCAGAATTCATTATGCATAATCACAGATGATGATATCAGAATTAGCGTGTCCCTAAGCGTGTAAATTGATAATGGTGATAGTATCATATTATAATTGATTAATATTCAAATTACACATTTTTTTTTAAATTGTTTTAACACAATTTATTAATTACTGATTATTCTTATCTGTACAGGCAAGTACTAAAGTGATTACAATAAGCAGATTCTACTGTTTAAGTTATTTATACAGGAAATTCTCGTTAGTTCGAAATTCAAGGGAAAAAAATTGCGACTTCGAATTATCCGAGATTTACACATATCTGTACAACATGATAAATGCTATGTAACTGATGTAATATATTAAGCAAACTGAATATGGCTACATATACAGAATGCTGTTTTCAATAATTAATAATAATAATATAAATGTGAAGGTAAACTTCAAATTAACTGAATTCCTTTATATGTATATATTTCTATCCCCAGACAGGAAAAAAATACAGTTATGAACTAACAGGATTTCGAACTGAGTTTGAATTAACAGGGATTTTCTGTATTCATAAATTTCCTACATGTCTTATGATATACTTTTTAATATTTATTTAAGTCATTTATGAAATTTATTAAATGAATATTCTGAAATTGTAAACTTTAAACAGTGAGAATATTTTGAATTTAAAAAAAAAAAAATTAGATTTAATATCAATAACATGTGAAGATTTTAATGATTTTTTTTTTCAAAGTTTGTATATTGTAGAATGTATTTAAGAAAAAAAAAACTTTCACAAATGACTTTTTTTTAAAATTAAGATTAAAAATTACATTTTTTGAACCTAGATCTAACTATGTAAAAATACAATTATTTCTTTAATTTACATCAGATTTTAGAATTAAAAATGTTCTTATTGTAATTAATTATTTTTACTTATTTTTAGTTGTTATACAAAAATATCGACCGATGTAATACTTATTGGAGAAATCCAAGCGGAGATAGTAGTAGCGGATGCAGTAGCAATGGAATTCACGATAGCATTTCATCGTCTAATACCAATCACACTCATCTGTCGACGGATTCCGGTGCCGAATTAGACATTTCGCCCGTTAATACTGTCGACAATGTTTTCTGTGATCCGAGTCTAATTTTAAAATCAAAGATCCATTCCAACTCTGAAATAGACATACAAAATGGCAAAAGCAGTGATTCTGGTTTAGATAAGGAAATACCTGTAGTGTGTGGAACCAAAACTGAAATGGAACAACCAACTTCCACTGCCAATTTCATTTTGCCATTAAATAATCAGTCATTTCAGCATCCGTATAGTAAATTTGGTTTAAACGGGCCAAATTCTCATTATTCCAAGCAGTGGAATAATATTTTAACAATCAATTATAATTTATGCAACAGTGAGCCTTCTATTATAAACATTAACAATAATTCTAATGATAAAAATAAACCTTTGGCATCGATACCCTATTCTAAAATAGGTATCTCCAGGAGCTCAGAAAGTATTGACCATTTTCCTAAAGATAATCAAGATTATTATAATAATGAGAATTTCATAGAAAATGCTGACAAAAACAAAGATTTTGAATTACCAGCATATGTTTGTTCAAATTTACAGCATAAAAATAATGTCTTAAAGCCTTATATTTCTATGGGATCATATTTTGAAAGCATCGTTAAAGTTCCTAATTGTAAAGAAGGCTTACCTGTAAATTCGAAAGGTAATGACGATAACATGGCATATTCTAAATTTGATATCCATCCATCAATAGATGTGGTATCGAGCCAAGTTAACCCTTACATTCCAGTACAGCAGGCCCATTCTATGATGCAAGGAGTAATTTTGCCAGAAATCAATTTAAATCCTTCATTTGATATCAATATTTTTAATTTTAATAATGATTTACCACCGTCAGAAGTCTCGTCACCGGATACGAACGTTGGTGAAGAACTTTTAAATACTGACGAAAATTTTTATTCTTCAAACGAACATGCCATAAATGGAACCACTTGTACTTACGGTTGTGATAAAGAAATTGACTTAAGATCCGAAGATGACATCGAAAGGCAAAAATCTGACGTGACAGAAAACAAAAGTCCACAGACATTGAATGTTTGTTATGCAGAAGAGCCTTATAAAAAGTTTAAATATGTGAATGAGAATGGTACCACACCTGAAGGAAATAACTTTGAAGTAATTATGGCACCGCAACAACTAGAACAGTCGGATTGTGCTCCGTCTTACATATCTCCATTCAGGTTCGAGGACCAATCCAACAAAGTCAACGCCACGAGTAACGAAAACGGTTACGTTCATCTCCCTACTGTTTATTATGTATAGAACAAAAAAAAATCTGTGTTCAAAATTTCCGTCGATTACCACTTTCATAAAATTGAGCCGACTCAGGGGTTTACGTGAAATTTCTTGTATAAATGTTACGGAAAATGTTTTATAAAGTTAGTTTATTTGATACCTGATAATGCCACATATTTTATATAATTACACAAAGACAGTGGTATGGGAGAACTATATTCAATGAAACTAGGTACAATATTGTAATTATACAATGAAAGAAACTTTTCTTTATGTACCAAATTGAAAGTTTGCTTAGTTTAATTCATTATGGCCTTACGTTATGTTGGCATTATTAAACTAAGAATTCATTTTTTAATCATTCCGAAACAATTGCTCCGTCGTCATAAAACAGTTACTGCTTCACATATTTGATTTTAATTTTTAAAAAAAATCATGAGAATTTTACAAAATTAAACAAGCATGGAAAATTGTTTCCTGATTTCTATATTGTTATACGATAAATTTAGGCTATTGAATTAATAATGACCTAAATTTAAAATGATTATTTGATTTTTAAAAAATCTCATGATAATATTTCTGTTTGATATGTCATAATTTGGTATTTGAATTGTTTTATTACGAAAACAAATATCACATAAGTTCAAAAATTTATAAATCTAGTCATTTATAAGCTCAATTTTTCTACTGTTACAAAGCTTTTCAATTCACTTTCTCGTGTAATTTACTTAACATTCGGACAAAGTGGTTTTTTTTTTTAATCATTTGCATTCACGAAATTTTCTAAAAACCAATGAATAAATGTAAGCAACACTTAGTAACATTTCATGTTAACTGTTCTCAAAGATAGTTTCAAAGTCACTTTTCTGCCAAATTTCTTTTCCGTTCAGTTCAAACCATATTGTAAATATTTTGGTGTATTTTTGTGCATTGTACAAGGATAGGAATGGATCATTTCTGACATTGGCGTGTTGCACAATTATTTATGTAAGTAATCAAGATCGACTCAGGTTCGACTGCTCATACGTGCATAATTTTTAATTGACTGTTGTGCCATTATTGTTTGTTTTAATAAAATATAATTAAGATTTCTAATAATAATAATAATAATAAGAATTTTATCTTAAATTAAAATTGAAACGATGTTTATATAAAATATTACATTTGCTCAGAAACATTGTTCATAATTTATCTTTTATAAGTAAAACTATAAGTGTCGGAGCAAGAGTTATATATTTTAAGCATTGTAAATTAATGAATTTATGGCCAATTTTTCTTCATTTACCTGTCAACATATAGTTAATTTGAATATAATTCTTTCATTATTATTATTATTATTATATTTATTTAAATGAATGGAAATCTAGAAATTAAACAATTTCTTATTTCTTTGAGTATTTCAGAACAAGATTTATTTCATCTTTAAACAAATTTTTTAAAGTTTTGTTTGACATTCAGAAGATGGAATGAGCCTTGCTTTGATAACAAAGAAAAAAAAAGTGTGATTTTTCAGAATTTAAACAGAGTTTTTAAAAAATATATTATATTATATAATAAACTTTCCATTCTGTTAAGTTGTTAGTTACTAATTTCTTAATTAGAATGTTGTTTAACAATAATTTTTCTGGATTAATTATCTAAAAATGTATATTTATTCCTCAAACTCCTTCAAATTCCTTGCTTTAATATTAAATTTAAGCAGCGTATTCATCCCGACAAACAATCTGTCCGAAACTCATTAAAATCTGTGATAAATAATAATCATGATTAGGTCTAATATCAGTTATGTAATAAAAAAAACAAAATGAAATTTGTAAAATGTTCATATATATAAAAAGAAAAAAATCATTTATAGTCTATATTTAATTCAATAATTATATTTTGAATATATTTACATTGTTATCATTTAAGAGGTCTTTGTTATGTTAATGCGAAAAAGGAAAAAAAAATACATTCCATCAACCTTAAAAGTGCCATATCAAATCCAGTGGCCTCTGAAATAAACGGGACCAAAAAATAAAATTACAATTTAACAAAAGATATCGAGCAAATGCCCACATACTAATCAAACTAACGTCTTTGTTTTTTTGTATCAGCGGCTTGGAAGTTCCTATTAAATCTCTGATCTTTGGACAATTCCNAACTTTCCATTCTGTTAAGTTGTTAGTTACTAATTTCTTAATTAGAATGTTGTTTAACAATAATTTTTCTGGATTAATTATCTAAAAATGTATATTTATTCCTCAAACTCCTTCAAATTCCTTGCTTTAATATTAAATTTAAGCAGCGTATTCATCCCGACAAACAATCTGTCCGAAACTCATTAAAATCTGTGATAAATAATAATCATGATTAGGTCTAATATCAGTTATGTAATAAAAAAAACAAAATGAAATTTGTAAAATGTTCATATATATAAAAAGAAAAAAAAAAAAAAAAAAAAAATATATAATTTTTTTTTTTTTTTTTTTTTTTTTTTAAATCATGATTCTGTATTGGTTTAGAATGCAATGTATGTGTAAGAGATCTCATCTAATAATTCATTGGTCACTTTTATTTTATAACATGTTCCTGTAAGTGTTTCAAAATCAGAATAAAGTTGTTTATATTAAATTTTGAATTGATTTTCTACGCAATCTATACAGTGTATGCCACGAAATCTGTGCAGTTTTACCTTGAAAGCATGTGCCCAACAAAAGGGGCAAGATTCTCATGCAGTTTTTTTTAAAAAAAACATGAAAATATGAGGAGATTCTTATCAGATTTGGCAGATTATACATATCTACACCCAGAGTCGGTCCTACCATAGGGCGAACGGAGCAGCCGCTCCAGGCACTAAGTCCAAGGGGGCACCTCAGTGGTAAAGAAAATTAAAGGGTATAAATTAGGGGCAACCAAGGGGGCGCCATAATAGGATCTTGCTCCATCCTAAAACTTGCCTCGGGCAGGCACTGTCTACACCCTGTCCCTTTTGTTGGATGCTTTCCTGTAAAATCTTTGTGTAATATGAAGCCGCATGAAGAGTGGATTTCGCGACATACTCTGTATATAGAATCATCAATTACATACATTAAATTCTATAGTTATAATACTACTACTAATTTTACACTTATAATGTACAGTACCTTTGGTATGATAGTGGAGTCCATAGTAGAGGATGTGTTGCAACTCTGCGACCAAGGGTGTCCCATAAATATTCTGTGGGGTTTAAGATCAGCGAACAGGATGGCCAATCCAGACTCCTTATATTTTCAATGTCCACGTATTCCTGAACTGAGAGCTAGCGTTATCGCCCATTAAAATGAACCCAAGACCAAATGCATCACTAAAAAGTTGCACATACTGCTGCAGGATGAATATAAATCTGATACGTTACCGTACAACATTCGAACACGTGCAGTGTCATACGAGACCCTAACATTATACCACCCCAAGCAAAGACTCCACCTCCGGAACGATGATATTTGACGACGTGGGCAGGATTATAACGTGTCCCCGGGGCCCGTAAGATGTACTGTACATACATTCGTCGACTATCAGTCTCTTGGCTGTAACAGGACTCTAGTAAAGAGTAGAGGAGAAGGTGGTATTATGGAACCACCCCATTTCGAACTGATAATAAAGGCGAACTGTAGCAGAATGTGGCCGAACTGAACTAGGCAGACATCCATAGCGAGGGGAAAACCCGTTTTACTTCATTTTAATCCGTATTTAATCAGCAAATTTTTTTTTTTTCCAAAATTCGCAAGTTTTGAATGCTAAGTGAATTTAATTATTTTTAAAATATAAATCGTGTTGTTGTAGGTTCACTGGTGCACGTATTCCATTCCAGAGACTTAGGGGTACATATTAATCTGTGTGATTTTCACGTTTTTAAAGTTTGGTGCCGACAGGAACCAAGTTAACCCAAGATGGAGATGCGTGAAATACGGACCCCATTGGTGCTTTTAATACGGAACCCAACTCCCCTGGTGTTCGGTATTACCAACAAATTCAAACCATAAAATAATGTTTTTACGTTTTATTTTATTTACGAAAACATTTTTTAAATTTAAATACTATCTTAACAAGAAATAAAATGTAAGATAACAATCGAAATAAACTTTTTTTTATGAAAAAAAAATATCGTCTGCTTACAAAATAGCGAAACTGAGCATGCGCGAAGTGACAGTATCGTCTGGTAAAGTAAATAGTCTACAAGTAAGTTGAAACTTTTATATAATTTTTACCACAGTTTTATTCAGAAAAAATAAGTAAATTTAAAATGAAGATTTATTTCTTATATCTACTTATACAAAAAATACAATAATTATTTGTACTCACTTCATTTATTATAAAAATTACATCTCAAGATTTGATCCTATCTGCCCTTATGGGGGTGGAAGAATGTTAAATATGTTACTATTTAATGTTAAAAAACACTGCATATAAGGAATTATACTACAATTATGTATCATTAGTATGTTGTAATTTGTTTAGAAAATGGGTTAATGTTACCTTAGGTTCCAAGATGGCGACGTTTCCGGTAATCTCGAAACGTAGGCGTGCGCGTTATCGGCGATAGAGGGAGCTGTTTCGTAACGATGCGACGTGGTGCGGGATTTTAACCCTTTCAGACCTGAATTTTTTGTGCAGTGAAAAAAAATTTTTTTGTGTTGTAATATTAATTAGTAATATTTTTATGATTTAAATAAGCAAAAAGCATTGAAATTTATCTTACCATTTTCAAAATACAGTCTGTACACAAGTGTGTACACTGGGTCACGACCTATATTGAATCACATTGAAATCATAAACATACAGAATAATATTTTTACACAATATCGTAAATTGTGAACTTTTTATTATAATCAATACAACTAATTCACACATACACAATATTAACTATGCTTTTGAGTTTATATTGTAATCTGTTAGAAATAATAAACACAGTTACTTTACATGGAATGCACGAAAGCAATTTTTTTCCTTTGATAAACAAAGGTGAACCCCACATTTTTCACATTTTACTCGAGAACGTCCTTTGCACTTTGGAAATTTGCATCTGCTAGGCAAAGCAGCGTTTTCGTGAAGAGGCATATGATCAATTCCATCAAACTGAATTTCTTCAGGAGGTCTGGTTTCTCCTCGTCGTCTTTGATTAGAAGTCTCTGGAGATGTGGCAGATGGTCGACCTCTTTTTCTGCTGGAAATTTCCTTACCACTCATAACCAGGACATAAGCCAGTCTCATACGAAAATGCAGGAGATCCATTATTTTATTCTGTTGTACACCAATGGCTTTGGCACTTGTTCTGTATTCCAACCAACTCTGTACAACTGCAAAATCTACAGCATGGAAAATTGCTCGCAGTGTCCACTTCTTAGATTTTATAAAAATCCTGTAATAACTTATCAATTGGTCAAAAAGATCTACACCACCCATAGAGTGGTTGTAGAGTTTCACGACTTCTGGCCGATCAATGCTGATATACTTTTTTTCTTTCTTTTCCCAGCGTTCAACTTTGTCANTTTTATGATATTTTTATTTTATTAATATATTTTTTCGTACACAATCGGTTACCCGAAATACCGGCCCCCCGAACAACCCCAGTCGATTCAGATAATCGACGCTCTACTGTATTATGGAAACGATAGAAAATTGCCGTTTCTTAAGATGTAGTAGATGCGGAATGAAGTATATTCTGCTTACGAAGGAACTTTTTTAAAAGTAAATTCGGCCACGTTTCTCGGGGTCGTATTTTGTCATTTATTCGGCACTAACTTTGTCTCGAATGTACGGCCGGTGACGAATACGAAAAAGAAGGAAGAAAACGGGAAAGCCGAGAATCGAAGAATCTCGAATGCGGGGAAGAAAAGACCCGCAACGAACGCCGACGAATCTACAGAGTCAGGGAAAAATTGCGGGATCGAAAAGGAGGAAAAAGAACCGTCGACGTGAGTAAAAAGATTTTTATTTATATATTTGTCAATTCGCTTTCTCTTTTTTCTTTTTCGCGGCGGCTCCGCGCGCGCGAGCAAACAAGATGGCGACCGAAAGCAGCGACCGAATCGGCGACCGTCGCCATCATGGAACCTAAGGTAACATTAACCAGAAAATGCATAAAACGACCAAAATTTATTTGCATATAAGTTTTTAGCTCTTATGTTAGGCTTTACGCAAGGCTTTTAACTAATAATTTTGAACATTTATAATTATGAACAGAAAACACAAGTATTGTACCGGTATATCACAAATCGTACTATTTAATTAAACTATATTTTAATCCACACTCGCTACATTTTATTTTATTTAACGTATAGAGATGTTTAAAGTCGACATCACGAGCATTCGCAATTGTCCGCCGCAATCTTTGTGGTTTGTTTACGTTTAATTTGTGTTGAGCGCGCTTTAGTTGGAACTCCCGTGCTGTTTATTCGTCGCGAATATCAGTATGGTGAATTGTTGCGTAACTGGGTGTAATGCTAGTTCATTCGAGAACAAAGGAACGTCATTTTTTGAAATTCCCGGCATTATTTGTCATCAAGTATCCCAAACCCAGGAGCTTTCACGACGAATGACTCTCGAGAATTAACCAGAAAAATTTCAATACGGATAAAGTGAATATCAATATACAAGAGTTTGTCAGAAACATTTCATTTCAGTTAAGCAATAAATGAGATTACTATTTATCAATAAATGATTAGAGAAACTTTTGCATAAGTGTCATAACGTGTGTACAAGCCGGTTGCCTTAATCCCTTTGTTAATACTGACAAAATAAAAGTTAAATAATTGTAACAACCGCAGATTTTAGTTTAAATAGATAATGATTGCGTTCTACCTTTATTTTTTCACCTTTCATTTTGTTTTCTTAGTCTCTGCTTATAATAAATATACGGTAGAGTTTAATATTAAAGTGTTAAGCAATGATTATCACTTAGAGGATAAAGAATTAGAAATGAATTTTGAACCAATTATCCCTCTAGTCTAATTTACATAAATAAATGTGTGTATTTTTTTGGTACAGGTAACCCCCGTATAACACGGTAGTTACGTTCCAAAAAATTGCCGTGTTATGCGAATCCGTGTTATACGAAACAAAGAACTAATACGAAAAGGAGGGTTAGGTTCCAAAAATTAAAAAATATGCTAGTATATTTTCATAATTAAGATAAATATCTTCATTAAAATTTTTTTAAGTGATACATATTAATATAAATTAAACAATGTTTTCTTCGTCATCACTAAAAACACTATTAATTAACCGAGAGCGTTTTCTTTTTGGCAAGTTATCCTTATCCTCTGAGCATTTTTCTGCATTATCTTCAGATCCATGCTTTACCTTTTGCAAAATGTATGTAATTTTAGATTGCTTGCTTCTAGTTAAAAGGTCTTTATAAATTTCCTTATATGGTGCTAAGCACTTATGAAGAATAAAGCAAGTATGGAATAAGGGAAAAACATTCGGCAACATCAGAAGCAGAAGCGTCGCGATCTGGCAACATTGAAACAAGTTTCGAGAAGGACCACGTGTATCGACAGAAGGCGAGAAGAGAAAATTTACATACTTAAGTACTAATAGTTCACGAAAATAATAATTTTCGTGAACTATTATTACTTAAGTATGTAAAAATTTATTACATTTCCTGTTGTACGAGGGTTTTACCCAATTCTCGAACCGTGTCAGAGTGAATCCGTGCTATAAAAGTACCGTGTTATACGGGGGATGGTACCAATTCTCGAACCGTGTTAGAGCGAATCCGTGCTATAGAAGTGCCGTGTTATACGGGGGTTACCTGTACGTTTATTTGGCATCTAATTTGCATAGAATGTACATACATCAAACGCCATCTGTTGGCTGTGAGCGTGAGTAGTCGAACAGCTGTTGAAACTGGGAGAATTTCATAGGACACATTTCATAGTCTAATTTTACCGAAAGGAGAATTAGATGGACCTGGAAATTTTGTCGAAATCGAAGAGAGTATTGTGAGCAAAAGGAAAAAACTAGGAGAATGGTTCGACCTGTTCGGCATACGAATACGTTTTATCCAGGATCGGGACGTGTTTTAGTTTAGAAAAAGCCAGAGATTGTACCTTCGGCCCCGAAAGTAAGTACCAATAAATCCGAAAATCGTAAGAGGAAGAATTTAGACATTTGTGTTAAGAATGCGGAAAAAGTTTCTACAATGGAAAAGGATGAAGTTACGAAAGAATCATCCGAACCATGTTTTTTTTACCGAATAAATCGGAGAAAACGAATTAGAAATATGTCAAAGGTGAGTGAAAGATTTTTTTTACTAGCTGTAGTAGAGGAGAAGGTGGTATTATGGAACCACTCCATTTCGAACTGATGATAAAGGCGAACTGTAGCGGAATGTGACTGAACTGAACTAGGCAGACATCCATAGCGAGGGGAAAACCCGTTTTACTTCAGTTAAACAGTTGTCTGTATTTAATCAGCAAATTTGTTTTTTTCAAAATTCGCAAGTTTTGAATGCTAAGTGAATTTAATTATTTTTAAAATATAAATCGTGTAGTTGCAGGTTCACTGGTGCACGTATTCCATTCCAGAGACTTAGGGGTACATATTAATCTGTGTGATTTTCACGTTTTTAAAGTTTGGTGCCGACAGGAATTAAGTTAACCCAAGATGGAGATGCGTGAAATATGGACCCCATTGGTGCTTTTAATATGGAACCCAACTCCCCTGGTGTTCAGTATTACCAACAAATTCAAACCATAAAATAATGTTTTTACGTTTTATTTTATTTATGAAAACATTTTTTTAATTTAAATACTATCTTAACAAGAAATAAAATGTAAGATAACAATCGAAATAAACATTTTTTTTCATGAAAAAAAATATCGTCTGCTTACAAAATAGCGAAACTGAGCATGCGCGAAGTGACAGTATCGTCTGGTAAAGTAAATAGTCTACAAGTAAGTTCAAACTTTTATGTTTATTTATTTGAAAAATAACAATAAATGTAGCAGTTGTGATAAATGGGCACACTGTTCTTGTGCCAATATTGAAGTGATGATGACTCTATTGATATCTCTCCTTTTGACTTGCCTGACGAGGAGACACCTGGTTTTAAAGATGACACTGCTTGTCTGTTTTGTGATGGGTTGTTTGCAGATGATAGTCATGGGGAGGTGTGGGTGCAATGCCTAATGTGCGCTATGTGGGCACATAAAGATTGTGCTGATGTTGAAACGGAGCATTATATTTGTGATTTTTGTAAATGATTAGCTTCTTCTTTGTACATTTCTTTATTATTATTATTATTAAATCATTTTTGCGTTAAAATACATTGGAGTAAATGATTTTGTAATTATTTAACATTCTTTGTACTTTCCTATTTGTTTTTGGCTACATTAAAGCATTTTTTGAAAATATACAGTAAGGTTCCATATTACCACCCGATTTTCTCTAAGCCTACTTTCTGACTTTTTGTACAAAAGCCTTCAAAAACCATACTTATAGTTACACAAGCGAAAAATTCAATTAGGAACATTTAGTTTAATAGTTACCAGTGCTTTTCGCACAAAAAATGTGGGTGTAGTTATGCTACCTTGTTTACAATTCACTAAAATGTAATTGGGGTTCCGTAATACCACCTTCTCCTCTATCGTATTTGTTCACAAACAAGATGGCGACCGGAAGTGCCGGTCAGCTAAGTAAACTTTTACCGATGTAAGCTATATTCTACCTATATCAGTAATGGTATAGTGCATCGATTTTGCGCTATATCATTGTCGNTACTGGGAAGGCCATCTACAGAGTTACAGCTCATTCAATTATGTTATTCTTTAAACCCAGAAAAACCCTGCAAGTCTTTCTCAAACAACCTCATATAAAAGCAGTTTTTCAAGTTATAGTCTTTCTCAATTACACAAATTATAGAAACTATAAATCTTTAAATGCATAACTTCTATTGTTTATTATTGTAATCTAGATATAAATTTACAAAAAACAACATTAATAGAAATTAATACTTGAAATTAATTTTTTCTTTAATAAAAATTGGTGACTGGTCTTCTAATCTTGCATTGATGAATCCAGCAGTAGTCTAAAAAATAATTTAAAATTAATAATAATTAAAAACAATTAATATAAGACAATTAACATATTAAAAAACAATTAATATATTAATGTTATCATTACATAGACCAGAGATGATGAACAATGGCACATCAGAGAAACTATCTGGCATGTAACATATCATTTGATTTTGGTTTATCATCTTATCATCCTTTTTCAATCAGCTTCTTTACATTTATTCTAATTAAAGCATATTCATTTAATTTCTTTGAATATTGTTATTCAAAGTATAAAACTTTGGCATGCATAAACAGTTTTAAAGTTATGTATGCTTATAATATAGCATGCAAATTCAAAAATGTTCACCATCCCTGACATAGACTATTAAACTGTTATTAGTAAATTTTGATGTGCATAAAGTACTTTTCACAAAAATTAAACATAGAAATAGAAGCATGGATTATTGAAAAAAATTAATTTTTATAATTAGCAATCGGGTTGTAAAATTCTTCATACTTCTTTAAGGACAGGCCGACAGTCGGTCGGGACAGTAATCATCTCTTGTAGGTCGACAGACTTCCATTTCAGATGAAGCATGCGTTCATCGGCTTGTCTCATCAATTCTCGAGTGTAGGAGCTACTTGCTGGAAGACAATGGAATGGCACATGTACTGAAGAAATTGCCTCTTCTCTACAAGACGGTTTGCATTCTAAAGTTGGTTGCATTGCGAAACATACTTTGTCTCCACGTTGTATATATCTGGTTATGTAACGTTTGCAAGCCATAGGCCCTAAAAATAAATTTGTTTTTATTGTAAATGTATCGTTAATGATCAACGCGTTACGTTTACTTCGTATATTGCATACCTGTGCTACTCCACTGTGTTACTAAATCACTGGACCATAAAGGATTCGATTGGCTTTCAGGTGCCCATAGAGGTTCCGATTGGCTTTCAGGTGCCCATAGAGGTTCCGATTGGCTTTCAGGTGCCCATGGAGATTCTGCTGGCTGATGTGACCATGCTTGAGGAAGTGGTTTGTTTAATGGATGGTCGACTAGTGGCATGTTCCAGGGTCTGTCTCTGGGATAAATGGGATATGGGTTTTGGTTCGGACAATAATATGGTCCCACAGTCCTGGATGAACAACTATCTTCTGTGTATTTGCTAATAAAATCTTCACTCAATTCCCAGATGCATTCTTGTGGACCCATGAAATCTAAATAACCGTTTCCATTATAATCTCCACATATACCGCATTCCTTTCCTCGATACCACGGACTGACCTGCAATAATTAGGTGGTCATTTATAAAACTTCATCGTATTTAAAAAATATATATATAACCTTATTCTTACTCGTATTTTGGCATTTACTCCATCGAATTTAATGCTAATTCCCAATCTCTCCAACATCAGAACTACGAAGTTCAAATTGTCGACCGTTTGTACAAGATAAATGTAGTCACTAAGGATTTCTCCTTTATTGATAACGTATACATCTCCACAATGTATTACATGTGATGTTGAATCAACAGTAAATTCATAATCACACGCCGTTGGATTTAAAAGAGGAGGAAGTACTATAGTAGTGCTTTCAGCAATTACTGTGAGTTCCTGTTAAAGAGAAGTAATTATAATGAAGAAATTATTAAATTTTTCAATGAATTCTGTCTTTATTACTGTAATTACTTTTTTAATGCCGCCGACTCCCTTAGCATATACAGTATAAATAGACTGAGAAGAGCAATCTTTCGATAATATGCGTTTACAGCTGTCATGAGGATATGGAATGGTAACGTTATCCAATGTTGTCAGATAGTTTTCCATGAGTAAACACTCGGCTTAAGGAAGAACAATGCAATATATTAATAAAATTTATCATTAAAAAAAACTATGATTTATGATTATAAATTCTTACTGGTCAGATCATAATCGATTAATTCGTTCAAATATAAGTTTCTAGTTGGACTCCAGGTGGATAATGGGTATAAGTAGGGAATGGAAAGTTTCTTCAAAAATAGGTTTTGTGTAGGCATATATAAAAATAAATCAAGAACTCTCATGTCCACGGTCGGATTCTGAAATAGGGCAACGAGTCTGGCATGATGTGGAGTATGATGCACGTCCACTGTGTTACGATCTACGTTGGGAAACAGATAATGAGTAACCAAAGTTATCGCTTTTTCGGTCAAGTTTCTGGTAAATGGTGTCACCTAAACATAATTAAAATTTCATTAAATCGAATAGTAGTGGTCAAAATATTATAGAATGTAGTTTAATACTAACAGAAGGTGGAAAGTATTGCATTTCTAAGAGAAGTTTGTTGAAGAGGTCTTCTTTTAAAGTGGCTAATCTACAAGGGAAGCTTAAACTCTTTCCCATGCTCATGTCAGTTCTGCATTGAATGACATACCAAGGCTCACTTGAAGACATAATTGGATAATCTTGCATATCTTCTCTCAATAAGGGAAGGTGTACTTTCTCGAACAACCCCTAAAATTAAATGAAAGTAATGTAATAAGTAGTAGCTTTTTGCGGTGTTTTTTTAACTGAAAAATCTAACTTGCCCTTATTTTGAAATAAGGTGACGAATCAACACATTCTGGGGCAACTCTTACTGATAAGAAACACTTTGTTGTAAACGGTGATTCTTGGTGGAAATGCAAGTCATTTGTTAATCCAAAAGTAACCATTTGTGTTTCGATGCAAACCTATTATAATAAATTTCGATTACTTGACAATCAAAACTTAAATTTTAAATATTAAAAAAAAAAAGGTATAGTATACCTTTTGGGGTAGCCACGTGTATGGTTTTGGTTTATGATGCAAAATAACAGTGGAACTTGCCGCGACGGTACGATCCAAAGAGTGCGCGTAAAGAAGATGGAAAACAACAGGACCATCAGGATTATCTCCAGTGAGGACAGCTTGAAAATTGATAATAGAGAAAGCTTTTTCTGATAGTAAATTGGAAGAAGGAACACTCACACGATCTTCAAATTCATATTGCAATTTTTCAATCATAGAAGCTACACGCGATTGGATGTCAGGAATATCGTGTTGCGTTTCGTGTGGTTTCCATAATGAATTGTATTCGTCGGGCAAAATATTTCTTGGTCGCGAATCCTTTGAGGGATAACGCACAAGTTGTCTGTCGAGTGTCAACTCTAGCTTTAACTAAAAATAATAAATCATATTACTTAAGAATATGTCGTTGGAATTAAACCAAAACTATAAAACAGAACCTACTTTTTGATTTGGACTTGTTGGATCTGGTACCAATACAAATTTTACATCTCGTGCTTTCCATGAAGGATTTTCTAAAGCTTTCCAACACTCTATAAAGGTTTCTTTCCAAGTTCTTCCTTTCTTCCATAATGGTAATTGAGCCCAATAATCATTTGCACGTGTTGAAAACATTACACCCATTCCGATCAGAGGGCTGGTAAATATCTTTCCAGACTGTAGAAAAGTATATTATTACCATCGTTAATAATAGAGAGGTTGCGGCCGACGTTTTCATCGCGAAAACGTGTACGTCGGACGTTCAGTGTCGCTTTCCTGTACGCCTAGAAGTTCGACAATGGTGTTTGGATAGTCAGTGGAATCATGCTCGACATTCCAAGCACCATTGTCAAACTCCTAGGCTTACAGGAAGGCGGCGCTGAATGTCCGACGTACACGTTTTCGCGATGAAAACGTCGGCCGCAACCTCTCTAATATATCGTCATAAATGAATCTTTCTTACATGAACAGGATCAGGTAGAACTTGAATTGGTTTGATATCGTCTAAGATTACTGGATTCTGGGTGTCGAAGCGGACTTCACAAGCAAATGTTCCTGGAGTTGTCTGGTGAGCTAATAATGGTGCATTCATACCTGGTTCTACAAACACTTCTAAGCGTTTGGGTGTGTTACTCGAATAACTTTTATATTTGATACATATCTTTGCGTTAATTCTAGTGTGGTAACTTCTAAAAACAGCGCTTCCGTAACCTGTTTTATTGATAGTACTTACAGCCATTCCTAATATTAGTGGATCATAATGCAATCTGAAATAATTAAGAAATTATATGAATGTCACTGAAGGTCCTCGTCTCTAGATCTTCTATTAATATTTACCTGGTTATAACCTGCAATTTTATTTCTTTTTCTTGTGGATTCATTTGTGGATTCATTTGTGGTGTGAATGGTCTTAATATAATTGAATATGCAAGAGGATTTATCGACATGTGTGTTACGGGTAAACCTAATTCACTGGGTATAATTTTATGTATAGAATTAGGCAACATTACCTTCACATAAACGTAAGGTTTGTTTGGAGACAAATCGTTAATGATTGCTTTAACTGTAGAAGATATTCAATAAATTAGTTTCTAATTTTTTTAACCTTATTACAAATTAAATAATATAATTATCTTACTGTCGTATATTATTTCCAAGGCAGATTGTTTATCTAATGGGATGAAAGTAGTTCTATCAAAAAATTTCAAGAAGAAAGTTGACTTGAATATTTCTAGTGTACGGGGTGTAATATTAATCTATAAAAAGAGAAATTTTAAACGTTTATAAATTAAAATCTTCTAATCAATTATAATGGGGGAAAAACCTACATCATCACGGACTCGTCTCATATTGTCTGGCATTTCTCTATCCCATGGACGAGGAATGTTCATTGCATTGAAAACGTCATTAAACAGGTTAATAGATTTGAGAAGATCTTCGGTTCCTTTCATACTTGCTCCTATCTAATAATTAGAAAATATTTATTAAGTAAAATTTATATCAAATATTAAAATTATTTTAAAAACATTTACCTCGAGTGGCATATTAAAATATGATGCCCAATTGTGTGTTAAACTATGATAGAAACTTCTCGGGAAGACAGATACATTGTTACTTGTGTAAGAGAGGAATGCTTGTATACCACTCATAAGAGATTCTAGGAAATTTGATCAATTTTATATAATTACAATTGAAAATTTCATATTAAATACAGTAGACCCCCTATAACACGGTAGATAATTCCGTGTTGTACGGTACGAGTCACTTAGATTTTATGAGCCGTTCACAGCCCAGCATACGTATTTATAAAGTGGCTCGTACAACACGGAATTATCTACCGTGTTACAGGAGGGTCTACTGTACTTCAAGAAGAGCATTATTTACCAGAATAAACATCCTTGAAGAATAATTTAGAATATTCAGTTCCAAAACTGAATTTTTTTAATTTAGGGAAAACAATTTTAAGCCTTTCCGATCTGTAAATTTTGAAGAATTTTAAATTAATAACAATTATACACTATTAAAAATACAGTATAAATTGCAAAAACTTACATAGGTCGTACGCAGGGATGGGTTCCATTACCGAAGTATTTAAAAGTGGAATAAACGAAGCTACCTACGTGGTTATCTTGTTCACTGTGAGATTCGGTTGCAATTCTCTCTAAAACATGCATAGGTGGATCAGCAAACAAGATAACAGTGAATGCTGCTACTCTCAATTCGTAAGGTTCAGCTTGGTTGAAGTATATTGGAGCAACCAAAGGTAATATCTAAAGTATAGGTTATGTTATTGTTTACCAAAACACAATCGTTACTTAGACAATTTAAAGAGTGACTTACGTGTTTTGAATGATGTCCGACCATGTGATGCAAAGCATATATTGTAACTTGCCTCAAGAAAGCACAAGAAGCGTGGTCTGTTTTGGTCTCTCTGGAATCGAAACAATTACTTGCTGTACCTTTAACGTATGGTTCTAAAACACGTATTCCACTTATGTGATCGATATGAACAATGGTTTCGATTAATATTGACTTTTCTCCGAATTCGACGGCTGAATCTAGTTGATGTTTTAATTCCTAAAATGTATATAAAATGTTTTAGAAATTTTTAAAATGGGCAAATTAATCAATTTACTTACATTAATGTAGTTTTGTGCATGTTCTGGTGTGCATGTGTTACGAACGAAAGGTCTCATGCTATCTCCTATATTGCGATGATCACGACCAGTGATAAAACTCTTGTAAATATCATATTTTACTTGCATCCTGTGGTCAGGAATACCATCTGTGTTTACATTAGTGCGAGGATGGGGCTTGACACATGCCTTGTGTACTAATTTACCGAAAGCCACACATGTAGATCCCCAAACATATTTCTTCTGTTGTGTTACTTGTGATTTAAGACAAAGATCCTTCAAGTAAAATTTTATCGTTAGAATAATACAGTATATAAATGAAAAAGTATATGCAATGGAATACTGACCTTCATTATCTCGACAGTTTCGACTGTAGGGAAAACAACTGATTGTGGTACAGCTTCTACCACATCTTTGATTTCCAGATTAGTTAATAGTTTACTTTCAATAAGTTGATGCATATATTTCACCGATTGTGTAGAACCAGATAATGGAAGACAATCGAGGAAGACTTTTCTATAAACGAGGATGTTAGTCAAATAATTTAAAACACAGCAAATTATTTAGTATAATGTATTTTTTTACCTCAAAGAAGCCTCGATCACTGAAGTTGGTTTTATTATAATTCTTTTTCCTAATTTTTGAAACCCTTCTAATTTTAAATAGCCCATTAACTTAGTAACTTTAGCAACTAACTGTCCTATAATATATCCTCCATTATGATGTGGATCATATGGAACATGTGAATTCGTAACAAGTCTATGGGCGAGATTTTTCGTCAGTTTATACAATTCTTCAACGGGATCTGGTAGGTCATTAACGGGAACGAGCATATCAAGGAAAGCACTCGCATAAAGAGCATCAAAATCATTAGATTGACCAAAAGTGCCAGAAATTTTATAACCGAGTGTAGAAAACGATTCTGGATCTGGGATACTTGGTACGTGACCGCTTGGTACGCATTTCACTAGAGTGATGTTAGCGCTGTGAAATGGTTTTAAAAAAAATGCTATATTATAATGTACATAAACGTTTTTTAGACGTTGAAATCAGCTTTATACAATAAAATTGTTTTCTTACCGCGTGAGAACGTCGAGATCGCTTCCATCTACGTGTAAAGTAACCTTTCCGTCGTTAAGGAGACCTTCAATAATAGGCGCTTCACCAGTTAAACTTATGTTATATTTAGTAACACCATAAGATTTAATGGGGCTAATAACCTGAAAAAATGTAATTATGATGTAAATAACATCTTCAATTTGGACGTAAATGTATTACCCTTTTTTTTGCACGTCTAACCTGTTCAAACCCGCAAGGACATGCATCGTGTTCACGTATCCTATAAGGAGTCATAGGTGGGTTTGGTCCCATTGGATGTTCACGACACATCCACGGGCATCCTTTAGAATCGAAATTTTCAAATTCAAAGACTGGACGCGTAAGACAATCGTGATAATCTCGAATTTTGGTAACGTTCAGAACTTCCGTATATTGAGGAAAAAATATATTATTTTCGGAAACCACATCGTAAATGGATGTACATAATCCTCCAATTCCATCCTAGAACGAATTAATATATTATATAACGAATTAACGAGTTAATATATATATATATTATATTGAAATTTGCCTTCGTTTTATTTAGAAAGTCATTATTATTATTATTAATNTAGGATATTGTCCCCAAGCGGATGCACTAGATGATTTACTAACTCCAGAACAGCATCTTTTTGTTTATGCCAAATTGAGGGGTATTCCGAGCCAGGAAATAAAAGAAGTAAATACTTTAAAACAAATAAATAATAAACAAAATTTTTTCAATATATTTAAATTCACTTTTTTTTACAGATAATTTATCGTGCCTTATCGAAATTTCATTTAAAAATGTATGCCGATCGCAGGGTGGGTACTCTAAGTAGAGGAACCAAAAGAAAAGTCTGTACAGCAATTTCCATGCTTGGAAATCCACAGATTATTTTATTAGTAAGTACTTTTCAATTTTTTCAGAGCATTGATACACTTTTAACTGAGAGTAAACTCATTTGTACAGTACATTCATATGTACTGTAAGCAATCTCCAGTTCATACTAATTAATTTCTAAACACTCAAACAGCTAGAAAATTGAATTTTACATTTTCATTTATTATTTTTGTTTTATCATACACATCCAAAATGTTTTTATTTTCTGTAGTGATTCTTTGTTTGCAATTGAAATTTGCCTTCGTTTTATTTAGAAAGTCATTATTATTATTATTAATCGAAAATACCTCTAGAACTTTGAATTCAGTAGGAATGATGTGTTCTTGTGGTAGCATGTTATCTGGACGGTGAAGGGATTGAGGAGATAAAATAACTTGAAATTTTTCAATGATCGCTCGTTTTACGTTCTTCGACCATACTTTATCTTGGCGAGCAAATATAGAATCTGTAATCTGTAAATAGCATTTTGTACTTTCGTAAAACAAACTTTTACATCTCACTTTAAAGTTATAGTTGTTAATATATGAATTACCCTTCCTTCGACATGTTTAAAAGCAAAAGGATAATCGGCCAAAGGTTGGAACTTTGGATCTGGTGTTAATTGACAAGGAATATTTTCAATATCTACATCAGTTAAGTCAAATTGGGGAATACTTCCAACCATCACATTTGACATCTAAATGTGCAAAATAATAACAATCTTTAGTTACTTTTTCATGGGACTAAAAAGACCAAATTCTGCGTGAGAAGATTTACTTTTAAGTAAACAGTTTCAGCATCAGCTGGGAAGACTTTCAAATCACACGTCAGTACAAAAGCAGAATGTAGTTGAGACATAGCCGGCAATCCGCTGTAGACGATCCCTTTGTATTTGTAAACATATTCCTTACCTATCGAATTAGCTAAAAATATAAATGTTTTCATGTTATCGTCACCAAAACAATTAGAATTTTTCAAATTTCGAAGAAGCAATACTTACTCCAAGGATCGCGCTTCCAATGATGAGAACTCTCTGATGAGATAAAGGAAAAAAAAAAGAATCAAGGTTAATTTCTCAATACCGAGATAGATTTAATTTAAATAATTAAATTTTTGTGGATAAAAAACGTTTTATGATGAATTCCAAAGCGTAGAAACTTACCTGCAAAGCAGAGAAGCGCCAAGCACAAAAGGAACCTCATCCTGTGGATGGAAAAGGTACCGAAAGAAAGGATTCGGCCACATTATATAGTCGATCGAAATAATCCTTCGACCAATAATAATTACCTAAAAACATCAGCTGATCCATTAATATACAAAATGACCTTTGCATGATTGCTTACTAAGCATCGAAACAGCCAATTGATAGTCAAAATTCAAATCAGCAAAATGTAAAAATCGTTTACTTCAAGTTTCTTAGATATCTTGACATTGTATTTTTTAAAATTACTTAATATCATCGATATATTATAATGAATTTTTTTTAAAAACACGTGCAACACACAACCGTTTCTATAATTTGAAGGAGAACAATTCTATGAGGAGAGTCATTACTTTAAAGCATCCTTACTTAATAAATTCTTGGCCTTTCTGGATAATTTATTAACCAAAAAACTATTTTCGCAAATTTATTTATGTTTAATAATATAAAATGTATTTTTTTTTTTATAATTAAGATCTCATAACAGCCGGGAAAGTTACGCAACTCGTTGATGAAAACTTTGGTAGCAACCTCTCTATTGTAAATGCCAACTTTTTGCAACAAAAAAGATTTCTTGCAAATGTATATATTAACGTAATAGAAACTTCTATCTTTTTTCAAGCCCATTATGATATATTCTCACTCCTTTTGGGATGATCTCCACAATCTGAACCATTGCCCTTTTTGCCCATAGAATAACACACCATTGATCATTTCATTTATAATTATTTTGTAAGTGTTTTTATTTGCTGATATTTATTATTCTATGATTTGAATCCCACCCAGATTATCCCAAAACAATCTCTTATTTACTGAATTTACTAATACCAAAACACTAAAACAATGAATTAAGTATCAATTGATTCCTGATACATCCTAATGAATCCTGAATGTAAATAAATAAATATAAATTTCATACTAAAAGAATAATGTAAATTAGAATGTGTTCTTTACATTTTTACTTACTTATTTTAATTATTTAGACTTTATCATTTTATTTACTTAATAATTACATTAAGTAAATAAAAAAATTATTCTGATCAGTAAACATGAAAGGTCTGTTTACACATTATTATACAAAAAATATTTTATTTTGCATGTTTGCAACTTTTTTAAAATAAATAATTACTATATTCTCTATCCAAGTAAGTGTATATCATATGTAATTTTAATAATATACATATTTAATACTGCACATTTATTTGAACATATTCTCCATCAATATTTCAGCCAGGAATTATCTACTTAACAGTTCATTATCCTTAACATTTTATCTAAAAAGTTTTAAATTGATTAGTTTGAATTTTAAACTGATTATTTGCAATCCAAATCTGTAATAATTTCAATAATGATAAAACATAATCGGCTGTCTATATTTTCTTTTCATAATTTAATTTTAGAGAGAGAGCCGAAATCTTTTTTTGCATTTCGACATTCTATAATTCCTATAATTAAATATTATTATCTTTTTCCCCTTTTTCTTTATAATTTTAAGCAAATTTTTGATATCCAAAATCAGTGTTTCCCTGAATATGCATATAAATCTATGCTAACTTTGCATGATTATAGATTGACTTTGCATTTGTTATCATTGATGACAGATATTTGAAATGATTATCCATTCCTAACTATATATATACATAAGAGAACAATTATTAAAAATGTTTCTAAGTGTCTTTAATTTTTTTACCCGACGCCGCTCGATAATTTAATTCATTCTATACCTTGACATGCCCTTTAACAGGGTGCAAACCTGTATTAAATTAGCTTTTGTACCGTTTAAAAATCAAATAAATTCCAAATTCAAATTCTAAACACTTAATTTTATTTGAAAATTATGCATTTTCTCATTATCAATCTTATTTTTTTTTTTAAAAAAAAAACCTTGCAAAAACTGAACCAACTCATACAATGATAAAAAATAGTAATGTAATAAGTCATAATTATATGTTTATATAGAAAAAAATTATATATATAATATATATATATATTTACATAAAGGTTAACAATAATTTAAGTTTTAATTAATTAATTCAGTTTTCTAAAATAACAACAAATTAAAAACTGGGATATTTTACAATATGGGTAATTTTTTTTGTATGTATGCAAAGTGAATACGAAAACATATAACACTAAAACTGGCCTTTATTCACCATCTCATTGCTTTTCCAGACCACAGAGAAACAACATACATCTAGAATAAATAGAATTAAATAACATAGTAGACATAACAAAGATACACAGAACATGAAGATACATAAAAACCCACAGAACTAAATCTGCAACGTGGAATGTAATTGGGAAGAGCTCTCTATAAAATTGTTGCATGGGCACATTTCAATCTTGTTTTTGTTTTAGTTCTCCCAATTACTATTATTATTTAATTATTATTGTTACATTCCACACGGAGCAGTTTACATTTTGTTTCATATTGTGATAACAATTTTTTTTTTTTTGAAAACAATTATAACAGAAAATTGGCAGTAGCACTTTTAACCAGGTGTACAATACCTGGATTAATATGTTGTAGATACAGATATTTGCATAGCAGGTCATATTTCCGACAAAAAAAAAAAATTTATAATAATAAACTAAGACCTCTTTCACACGCGCACACGCACACACAGAAAAAAAAAATTGTTTGGCAATTATAATTAAAATAAGTACCTTAACAATTTCAATACGCATGCAATTTCTTGTGACATGACTGCAATTAACTTCGTTCTTTACTAAACTGGAGTTTGCTCCAAAGAGACTCGGATTCCTTTATAACTGAATGTCTTACTCGAAAATTAATTGTCGAAACGTTGCAATATAAAATTTATCTTTTCCCCCTTTTGTCTCAAATAACTTGGATAACAAATTGATTTTTATAATAGAAATTTAAGCCACATAAAAATTTTTTAACAAATCACACCAATTTCTTAATCTTTTTAAATTATAAAGAAATATTAACTATTTTAACAATATATAATATTAGTCTCGAAAATAAATCTCGACAAAAAGTATACAAATCTCCCTTTTTTTGGTTTACAATCATTTTTTTTTCCTTTTGTCAAATGAGAAATATTTTATATATATTTTTTTATTTTCATTTTATAAAGATGTTTAAAAATATATATACAAATCTTAAAAAGAAACATTTTTTTCTTTTCTTTTATGTGAAATTTTTCATGAAATTTGATATTTAACATTTAGTATTTTTTTATATAATTTCAATTGTAAAATAAGATAGTTTCAAGAGATATACACTTTTTATTTGTTTTGTTTTGTTTTTCATCCTTCTTCTTTTGATCTGATACAATTATTTTATTTTAATACATGATTTAAAATTAGAAAGTGTGTTCANCAATTGGGAAAGAACTAAGATGTATATTTTTATATATGTATATATATGTTACATTACATTTTATATAATAAAACATTATCCTTACTAAGTAGGGAAAAACATTCTGTAGAATATCATTAGCAAAAAAAAGAAGAAAACTATTCGTAACAATCTCCGTCGTGCTACTTAATTAAATCTGTGGCCAATCTCCATTCTGTAAGACCGTGATTGATGTATGAAATCAATTTCGCACTTTCCGAACGGAAAAAAATTAAATTAAAAAACAAAAAAAAAAGTTGTACTACGATATTTCATTTACAGATGGTGACAAAATATTTGCACACACATCACCAGAAGAACATTTGGAGCGTGCATATTCAAATTGTAATGAAAGACAGTACACTGGTATACACAAAGTTTATATACACATTCAATGTTCATATTAAGTTACAGTATGTTTTGTTTGTTTTACTTTTTTTTTCTCATTAAAGGAAATGAAAAGATCTTTTCTGGATTGGTCGTAACAGCAAGGGTGGGAAAAAAAAAAAATAATAATAAACATGATTTACTAAAAGAATGTTTGCAACAAAACTTTGAGGTAGCTGTGGCTGAGATTCCACTGATATTTTTTTTTTTTTTCTTTTTTTCTGTACGGTCACAAATGTTAAAAACTAAAATATAAGACAGTGCAGACATAAAAGTTATGAACAGATAATCTATCGAACAATGACAAACTACTTATTTACGGATTATGCTACTGCATTTGGACTGCTGTCTGCATGATTTAATGTATCACAATCAGCACACTTCATCATGCTATAAAGATTATTTTGCATTGTCTGAATTCAAAAGAGGCACTGCACAATAAGTCAGTATGGCTTATAGGATGAACTTTTTTTTTTTAATTTGGCAAAGCCTTCGTACAACGTGATATCCGATCTGCATTCGTTTCTTCAAACTGATATATAAGACTCGAAAAACTTTGTACTCTCGCATTTCCTCCGTCCCGATTATAATGCCACTTTAGGACCAATCCAGACGATTAACCCAGAACAATAGAGAGATGGCAACAAAAGAGGGAATTGATTTTTTTTGATATTTTAAAAAATAAATCTACAAGACAACATTAATTTGATAAATTGAATTTATTAAATTTCCATATCAATTAATTAACCCTTTTTGCATTCGTCATAAGTAATAAAGAATTACTATATATTTTTTTTCTGAATGGCATGTTATATACTGTCTAAACGTAAGATTTTTGGTTTAGAATTAACTGTAATTTGCTTTCATTAACACAGAAAGATGTTGCATTCTGTATAAGATATGTGAATACTTTGTTGGAGGCAATTTCCAGTTGTAAAATGATTTAAAAATTCAACATATTAGACACTTATGTACACAGATATATCAATTTATCTTTATCTAGTATGTAAAATCTTTCTACCATGTTACAAATGAAAAATAACTGTTGACGTTATCTAATTTTATTCGTTATAAAATGCTTGCTTTCCTGGCAAAAATTTATTTGTATACTACGCAATGTAGTAGTGTCGAAACAATAGAAAACCTAAATTTTTTTTCATATAATAAATGTTATTAATCCCTTGGAAGTCCAGATTCTGTGCACGTTATAAAACAACAATTATAAATTTACTATAATTGCATATTATATAAAATGTAAAATTGCATTTTTGTTTTTTAAAAAGAAATCAAAACTTTATTGTATCTCAATAACACGAATTAATTTTAATTTTATAATATAATAATAAAATAAATTCAAATAATCTGGTAATATTAATGAGGTGTTAATGCCGTAATATTTACTATAAAACCAGAAAGCTACGTAATTCTTATCAAATTAAAAAAAAAAAAATTTATCTATACAGAACGGTAGTTATTTGCATATCACGAATTCATTTGCATATTTTAAAAAATTCTAAATCTAATAAACAGATTTGTGAGAAGTTTTATTCTAAAATCTGTTGTAAATCTTTATTATTTTAGTATAGGAAATTCTATAAATGAAGCAGTAAAAATACTTTTAACTAAGCATATAGTAAAGTATATACTTGGAATGATAAACAAGAATTGAAGCGACTTTGATTTATAGAAATGTTACGTTTATAGAATTTTATATTAATTTAATGTTCTATTCTTGGATCTATTTTATTCAAAATATGTTATATTTTATGTGGATACGGACTGACCGTAATTCAATTACCTAATCGATATTTCTCTTTCGTTATGGATAATCACAAGTCTACTTTCTTTTTGATTTAAAAGTATTTTTATGTAAAATATCTCATATAATTTAATATATAAATGTGAAATGATCAAACATATTTGATACAATAATAATAATAATGCTGCATTTGTTACACACCTATCCATAATGGAGATGATCAGCATAAGCAAAGCAGTGAATAACGCAAATATACAGCAAATACCAATGCATATCCATTGGTATTTGCTGTATATTTGCGTTATTCACTGCTTTGCTTATGCTGATACCAATGCATATCCATTGGTATTTGCTGTATATCTGTGTGCTGTAAATATATGTATAATAATTAATCCTCATCTTAACTGTTTATAGTACTTTGTATGGAAGTAAAAAATAACTTTATATACTTTTCAAATAGTCTGTTAAAGTGTATTCACTTACATATTTAATTTGTGTAAAATAAATAAATATTATAATATTCTTTTGTAATCTTTGGATAACAATCTCTAGTCTATTTAATGTTAAAGCAGTATTTCTTATAAATTATAAAAACAAACAGTTGCTCTAAATCTTACAATTTAATCAAGATAGGTTGATAATGTAATCTAATAATCTTAACAATAACACAGATTACTTTTTGCCCGAGCAATGCTGGGCTCATTTGCTAGTATTCAATAATGCTGATAAACTGATAATACAAAGAATGCATAAAAATATTCAGATGGAATCTGTGATATGTATAAAGAATGAATAATTTTACACACAATTTGGAGAGGAGAGCATGCAGAAATATTATTGGGATCTAAACATATAATGCATTGTTCAAAATCTGGAAATCCAATCTTGTTCTGGCAATGGTTTAAGAATCATAATATGGTGAATAAAACAATCTACTGAACAAAAAATATACTTTGTCTACTTTATTCCAAGGTGATTTTTGAACTGGATAAAGATGATCCTCCTTTGCTTTCATATAGGCAAACAATATAAAAAGTACTGTTTATCCATACTTTACTTGCCTATTTGGCTGACCACTGTTTGAAAATTCATAAAAAGAAAAGTGTCTCCTAGTCAAATTTACTGTAAGAATCTCTTATGGTATTCTCTTGTTTAATTGAGATTCAACAAAAAGGTTAAACTGCCTCATCAAGCAGAGCCCGCCAGGCCGTCGACAAAACCACCTCCTCCCTGAAACGTATGCGTGATTACGTGAAATTAGTTTTAAATATCTCCGTTCCCTCTAACCATTTAAGACGCTCGACATGGGGAGTAGTGAGGATGAGTCTGGCCTGAGAGAAGTCTGCTATAATTTCGGAATCCGCAGTGTATGTGGAGAGGGCCGTGGTAGTTCTAGCGTGTTGGATGTCATATTGTATAAATTTCTTTTCTGTTAATACGATTGTAATTTTATGAAATGTAAATAAGTTCAGAATTCAGATATCTATAACTTTATGATGAGATAAAAAAAGAAAATCCTTCTTTTATCATAATTGCATCCAACTTTTTGATGAATGAGTTTTTCTGATTGTAATTGTTGCTAATAGTAAATCATTTATATATTTATTATTGTATTCTAAATAAAATGAGGATTGATAGACTCACTTCACTAGTTAATTTTCTATCGATGTGCAATAAATCACTTTAAAGTAAAATACATTCTAGTAATTTCACATGTAAAATCTTCTTTTAAGGCAATGGATTAGAGTTATTTGGAGGATGCAAGCAACATAACTAAAGCCATTCACTATAATAACAGGCAGCAACTATCTTATACAAAAAATATTAGTTATGCATAAGCACTATGTGATATTTTTGAATTACAAAAGCATTTGCATTAATTAAAAAAAAAAAAAAAACACAGCTCTACACAAATGTGAATTCATGTAAATCAAGGAGATTGTTAAGCCGTAATTCAAAGTCATCTAATTAATTTTGCACTAATTACAATATCATAGCAAATTTATTTTGTAATATAGTAGACTTTTGATTATCCTAAATTGAGATGTCAAACAAAATAATGTATACAGCATGGTCATAATTAGTAACAGAAGCAAAAAGAATATTTGCAAAAGATATAATGGAATCTTTGTTTGTCTAAGCCTCAATAATACTCTATACGTTGAGGTTTAAAGATTCACAAAGATGTAATAGAGACTACTAAAATGTGAGGCAGTGATAAAAGACTCCATAAGGAGAGAATTCACAATTAAATACTACTAGTCTGCAGATCCGTATAAGCTTATAGAACAAACACCATTTTATTTAATATATTTTCTAAAAATTTTAGTTTTATATGAATGGACAAGTGATTATTTCCAATCTAATTAAATAATCAACAATTTAACAACTATTTTATTCCTGTTCCAAAATATGGTTTAGATTATATTCAATATGTAAAAGGCAAATTCATTTGAGTGTAAATTTATAGAAGATTTAATAAACAGTCCAGATTCTAATTAAAATATAACAGCTGAAAGGATAAATTACAATGAATATGAATATGTATAAAAAAATTTGGATATATCAAAAAATACTTTTTAAAAACAAAAATGCAATTATTTAAAAAATACATTTAGAAAAACACTAACAAATAGTATTGTAAAAATATATATATATATATCAGCTGCAAATTAATTACGTTCTATGCTTTCTTCTATTATAATCCATTAAACTTTCTTTTTATTGAGAATTTAAAGCTTTCTAATTGATGCTTACTGCAATATAATGCATGTTTAAAACATTACTATTTTGAAAATAGAGAAGATTCTAAGGCGTGCGACATACATTATGCAGAAACTAACGAATCGGGTTTATGGTGCTTCATTCAGTTTAAGTAAATTACAACAGAATTTGATAGATTAAATGTAATCGATGCTAGTTAATCCTGAATTTTTAATGCTGCAATTATAAAGTATCACAAAATTAATTCTTGAACCGTGTTAATGTTTTACCATCCCCCAAGTGAGCGTTTCAATCTTTTTATCTCAACTTCGAAACAAAGTATTGATATGGAAATAATAATTTCAAGTTTTTATAATAATATATACAATAAACTTAATTATTCTAATATTATTTTTCCCAAAATAAAATTTATAAAAAGTTAAAAAAATATTATTATTATTTTTTTTAATCATAAATTAAAATAAATCTATAAAGAAACAATTATGGTAAAAGAAGAAATATATCATATACATATATATATTTATATTTATAACATTGTTNCCTATTCTTTAATCTATATCATATTTAAATCTATCAAACAAATCTAATATATTTCAAATTCATAATAGATAAATATATACATACTTTTACACTAAAAAACAATATTAAATATATTTTGCTTTGATAAATGAAACATTTAACATATTAATTTAAATTAGCTTCGTTAAAAAATGTCATTTGTATTAAAATTTTCCTTAAAAAAAAAATTTAAGAATTTGTAGCACATTTTTTAAGGCATTGTGCAAATAATTTTTTTTTATCAATATTTTAATTTGCTTATTTTTGGGACTTTTTTTTTTTTAACATTATTTATAAGATCTCGAAGAAATAAAAAATACAAGCCGTTTATTCACACAATTGTCGTCTTTCCTTTTCGGTTGCAAAATGATCTATCTATTAACCGGCTAACGATAATCGTTATTTTAACAGAGGACAATTCATTACCTTCTCACAACAAAATTACCTACTGTCAATTGCACCATTTCTTTTTATATAGATACTCAATTTAAAAACAATTGTCCAGAACCTGCTGACTCACCTGGAGTGGTTCCTTTGCTTGACCATGTTCAGCCATACATTACAAATACAAATACAAACTTCAGAAGATTCTACCAGACTTTCATTTTGTTCTATAAATTTCAGTGCCTAGAGAAACTAGTAGTATTGTTTAATAGCCTCAAAGGACTGTCCTATACATACAAGCAATTTACACATAAAAAAAAACAAAAAAAAAAAAAACAACAAAAAAATGTGCACTGCCAGAATTTTCACTCCAACAGTATTATGTCCTGAGTCCTACAAATCTTCCACAATGATATAATGAGATATCTGTGGAAATATATATACATATACATATACACACATATATATATATTTATTTATATATATATGTGTATATATATATACATACATATATATAGATATACTGTATATTTATATATATATATGGAATGGGCTTGCTCTGTGGACAGTTTATATTCTGCCAAGGAATCATACAGTTGTGGCAGTTCAATAATAAAAATGGCCTAAGCACACTTTACTGACTATCTGTTTGATAGAAAACTTCTTTATATTTCAATCTCCTTGATATAATAATCTTTCGGGGAGCCGTCGACAGCCGACGCTCTCTGTGATGCATACTTTAAAGGTAAAAAAATTTCATGCACCATTTGATTCTTAGTTGTAAATGAAATTTGAGACACAATTGTCTTTTCCAAAATCAGTATTCTTGAAATATGTTATAGGAGTAGATGAATGAGGATAAACTTTTAAAGTATGAATGATATCCACATAGATAGTATTATTATTATTATTATTATTATTATTATTGTGATTGCCTCTTTCATTTGGAAGTATAATTCTTATTTCTGTGAAAAATAGTTATATCACAATATTAGATTCTACCTCAGTACGATTCTGAGTATAGGCAAAGGGTGTTGCTTCCATGCACTATTAACTTCCTCTATGGAGGACAGTATCTGTCTTCAACATTATAAAACCTATGCATACAAATGAGGTTTTGGCAATTTTGACAAATGGATAAGGAAAGATTAGACAAAAACAAATTTGCCCAGTTCTGCAAACGGTATCACACAATCACATTATACATTTATACATGTACTAAACAAACAATTTACAAAAAGGAGCAGAGAGCACAGATCTACAAACAATCTTCATGATATTTGTCTTATTTGAAAGCACTATCTTTGGTTACCTTGTCATGTCACAAAAAATGCATCAAGGAAAGGCCATCACTCTTTACTGAAATCATTAAATTCATCACAGGTATCTATCTTTCTTGCTTACCCAAACCTCTCCTTGACTAGAAACATTAATTTCTTTTTTCCTTTATAAGCAGACTTCATATTGTCTATAAGCTGAGCAAATTGTAAGTGGCCGTCCGGTGCTAAGAGAAAAGTCTCTCTTGCTTTGCTCAGGAACTCTATAAAATCTCCGTAATGACGTGGACTAATGTGAGTTAGACGGGAGTGGGTAGTATTCACATATGCCGTAATGGCGGCTTCCAGTAATTGCCTTAATGGAGGCTTGTCGAGAGAGAGGGGTTTAATACATCGCCGTTTTGCATCTAGGGTGGCAATTCCCGGAGCGGCCATTGAGCAACGACGTAAGATGTCTGACAACACGGTGGCACATTGCACATTTTTTACAAGCAGTGGCACAAGATTTGTTAGTTCAGACTTTCCTAACGAATGGGCGAGTGCACATGCCCAATGAATATCATTAATTGCAGGATGGTTGTCTTGATTATATGCCAGATGAACACCTTTCATTGCTAACACTGCAAGTTTGTAAGCACGATGCGGATAACCTCGATGCTCCATATACCTAGCCACAGTAAACAATTGGGAAGATGTCATTACATTTGTCGTTGCTGCATCTACCACTATTTGGTATGCTGCCTCAAAGGCAAATGGTTCACTCTCACATAACGTTAAAGCATTAAGAGCACAATTTGGAGGATCCTTGGTGGCACACTGAAGAGCAAGAGTACGACCACAACCCGACATTTCTTCCTGTTGCCTAAAATCAAGGTTGAGTCGCATCACCGTTGCATGGGACATGACTGTTGTAGCCACTGGACCTGAAATAATTACCACAATTAGTAAAAATTCAACGTATGTTATGATTAAGGGCTGGATTTGTATGCACGCGCATGTTTTTTCCCTTAAATGCTATGATGTTGAAGCCTTGATATAAACATTATTTGGGCCCAAGTGGATCAAATTAAACTTGTCCAATAATGCATATTTTATATGCATTTATGATTTTTAATGTATACTTTGTAGATTTAAGCATTTTAGGACAAGTTTTTTTTAATAAACTTTCTAGCCTGTTTGCATGATTACAAGTGCTATTTTTTCAAATGATCAATAGTCCATTCCTGCTGTCTGTGCGGTGAATCTTTTTTGCACATTGATAGTTCTCATATGAACTATAACTTTACATGTGAGAAATATCAATTACAGACTACAGTGTAAAATTCAAACTATCTAACTCGCAATCTTTTAAAGTTCCACAAATGCACCCTTTTTTCAGTCGTGAAAAGTTCTCATTTTTTAAATTCTCATAATTCTTTGGATTAAAATTATTGTAAATGTTTAACATTATTTAATTAATAAATATAATTTATTATATTTATTATTTTTAATAATTGACATTTTAAATAGATCTGAATTAGTGTACGGCAAACTATAGAGTTCATGATATCAATTTTGACACTAAATCTATAATTAAGTAAAATCTCTTATTAAATTATTGATTATTTCTCATCATTTGTACAATGCTATAAACATAAATATGTGACCTATTTTAGACCAGTGACTTAACTATAGGAGAGAAACTAGGTTAACCCAGTCACCTCAAACATCTTGTAAACAATGAATATATTTCTATATACATAAATGATGATTACATGTTTCTACAATATTTAATCAATTTTATTCACATGTAATTGACTTATTGGTGTAGCAAGTGTATACAATCATGTGTTTTGTGATATTGAAATTTTCAATCCCTTGTGTTATCTATTGTCACATTTTTATCCCTTCCTATCTAAAAAGTGTGATGTAATAGATTTTAGTAAGATTTGCTCACAGAAATAATGTAAGCATGCATTTCAGTGTGCATATGTATCGTATATACATATATTATGATTTTAAATGCACATAAATCCAGCCCTTAATTATGATTAACAAAAAAGTTGTACAAATTCATATAATCTGGATTGATGGATTGTTTTCCTATAATAATTAAATTCAATTACACAAACTTATAATTGTTCATGAATATTTTATGTTATCAAATAAAAAGAAATTGTTCAACAGTATAACTATCATATATAACCAAAACAAAAAGTATTTCACACACTTTTTGATTTTAAACAGTGTTATATTTTGAACAAATTTATTGCCTTCTTTTTCATTTACTTTGTTTACAAAAATTATTGTATATTAAACCATGACCTTCATTAACTTAACACTAAAATTAATACAAGATTTGCATTTTTTTAAAGAAATACACACATAAAGAAAGTATAAATAACCCAAAAAAACTTTGTGTTATTTATGCTTGCTTTCTTTATGTACAGTATATTCTATAATCAGTAATCCTATCAAATTTGTTATTCATAGTATACACTCACATTCAACGAATAATACTGCTAAAAGATTAAGCAACTTATTTTTAAATTAATTTTTTGAAGTGAATAAAGCAAAAAATTTATCAATTAATAACTTTTTATATTTCAAGTCTTCTCAAATTACAGAAGAATTGATATAAAATAATAATCATATTTTTAAGAATGTCAATAGATGAGTATTCAAAAAAAGATCATAATTATCTTTAATTAAGATCTCGATGGCGACTGACTTACATAAAAAAATATCCAGGAAGTCTAGGATAGAATTACTCAAGATGAATGTCAGGCTCTTATTAATACAATGTGTGAACATGCAAATGCAGTAATGCCGCCAAAAGGTGATATAACCAGATAGTAATCAGCAGTGTCTGAAGTACTTTCTGTCAATACTGGGAGGTGTTCAGTTTTTTTATATAAGCCAGTCACAATTGAGATCTTTTCCCAATAGATTTCAATGGAAAAAGGTCTCAACTACTAGTTGGCCAACTCAACACATTAATGTTATGATTTGCAAATCATGTCCTTATTCTTTTGGCAGTTTAGCAACTCGCTGTTTAATGCAGAATAATTTTTGTAATTATATCTGTTTTTGTTTTGTAGTTTGCTATCTTAAAAATGAAATGCTGCTAATAATCAAACAATGTCAGAGGCATGTTTTGTTTGACTTGTATTTTAATTAAAAGATAAATATGGTCTTTATTTGAATACTCATTTATTGACATTCTTAAAAATATGACTATTATTTTATATCAATTCTTTTATAATTTGAGAACACTTGAAATATTGAAATATAAAAAGTTACTAATAGATAAATTTTTTGCTTTATTCACTTCAAAAAGATTAAGCAACTTATTTTTAAATTAATCTTTTAACCGTAATATTCATTGAATGTGTGTGTATACTATGAATAACAAATTTGATAGGATTACTGATTATAGAATATACTGTACATTATGAAATATTATTTCAGTTTTTTTAATTTTCAGTAATAAGGAATTCAATTATTTAAAAACTGATATCCTGCAAATTAGATCTTATTAAGCCTATAGGCCTAAAACCCACTAAAGTAATGAATGCAGTGATTCATCATCATTGATACTGATTCTTGTTGGAGGCAGGCAAGCAATATTGTATACAGAACTGCAGCCCAAGTAAACAGGAAAACAGTATGCGACATGACTAATATTTTTAAGGACACAGGAAGGTATATGGAATAACTGAGAGGCTGAATTAGTGAGTGTCTCCTCTATTTTAATCTATGCTAAAGTAATATTTAAAAAACTGAATAGAATTATTAAAAATACTGATCAGTAAGAATAAATTAATTATATAATGATTCTATATTAAGAAAAGTTTAATAGTGAATATGTTCAATGCATAAAACAAAATACAGTGGGTGATCGGTAACGAACAAATCAGATAACGAACACTTTCGCAAAAGATTTTTATGTTCGGACAACGAACACATGATCGGATAATGAACACCTCACAAAACAAACACAAGAAGAAGCGATGTAAAATAATGAATACCGATTGGTCTTCCCTTGTCTTCGGGAAACAATTCAAAACTTTTCGGAGTGTGGGAAACGTCGACATCAACGCTCAAGCCAGTATATACCGATCGGATAGTATTCCTCCGAACTTTGAAACTCTCCCTTGTAATTCCAGCCTTTTATTTTTCTGACAAAATAATTCTTTTATGTATTTGCAGGACTTTCGGGTAGGCACTCGTTAAGTTTTGCATCTGTTTTTCTTTTCGAAAGGTGAGAGTATAATACCAAAGGTGGAGAGTGGGCAGAAGATGCCTAATGTTGCTGGGCAGTATGGCGTGAACAGTTCTACAGTAGGCCGCAGTTCAATCTTATTTAAGAAAAATACTGTATAATCAAGAAGACTCAAGCAGCTAAAGGAGTAACAAAAATCACATCTGAGAAATAAAGAACATCGAAGAGTTCATAATGGAACCTGAAACGGATCTGACGACAGAAGAACGCCAAGAACTCTTGAATGAAGAACACCAAGAAACTCGGCGAGATATGTTTTCTTCTGAAAAAGAGGATTAATGCCGATATCTGTTATTAAAGATCCTTTGAAGAAGTGGGAGGATGTCAGAACAACGGTCTTAGAATGGCATCTAAACCAGGTTGAGGCTTGGGGATTTCTACAATTGCAATGCTATTAATTACTTACGAAAAATCCTGAAGAAGAGGGAAAAGCAAGCGACATTAGACAGATTCTTTAACCATTTCAAACGGAAAAAAAAACATGACTAATAAAAATGCAAGACTGTGTGTGTATGTATTTTTATTATTACATATAAATAAACGTAGTAAGAAAGTATATATTTTTTATTTTTGGGGGTCTCTAGAACGAATTAATTAAATTCCCATAGAAACCTATGGTAAATTAATAATCGGTTAACGAACAAAGTCTTGGAACAGATTATGTTCGTTAACCGATCACCCACTGTATTACTTTAGATGAAAATTAATGTTTTGTCTGTTTTTCTCAAATGTTTAGCTGTTACCAAAAATGGCAAAAGTACTGCTACATGTTTGCACAGTTTGATCAACCAACAAATTCTAAGGTAAAGTCTAAATTTGCAGAAGAGCAGGTTGTGTGAATGTCCTTGATTTTCAGATATTTGACAATGTATATTTATTATTTGAAGGACGTTGGTGATCGCAACAATAAATGAATATTTGAAATAAAATTAGAAGTAATAATTTTGAATAGTTCACAAATTATAGATAATTAAAAACAAGAAAGCATAAAAAAAATGCATAAAAATTTTATTGCTTTATTATAACAGAAAATTTTTTTACCAGTTGCTTCAGTGGGAGTAAAAAACTGATACCAATTTTGCATAATTGAAATGAGAGCGTCTAACCCAACTTCCGTTGCACAGGTGACAAGCCATCTCACCATCTCTCTCCGCCTCCAATTAAGGGAAGACAACGTCATCCTCATGACCTAAACAAAGTATTGTCTATTAAATATAAATTGAATTAAAATTATATATTCTAATAATATTGTGCAATATTAGTTTTTAAGATGCTTAATTATCTATCTTGATATTTATTAAAGTATTTTTAAAATCATAATTAAACTTCTGATCTTAACTTTCTTCATATGTAAATGGCTATAATATAAATTATTATTAAAAACTTATATAATAACATAATTCTTGACACGGAAAAAAAAACATTTATCAAAGATTACTAATAACATAAAGATATGAAAATGCTAAAATAAATTAATTTTTATTTATAGAAATTACTAATCTAACAACAAAAAAAAAATAATTATTTTTTTTTGTTGTTAGATTAGTAAATTCTATAAATGTGTCAATTAGTGTATGTGTCAATTAGTACACAAGCATATCATAGTGCAAAGTTTTGTTAACATTTATAATATTATAATAGTTATAACAAAACAAACTGCTAAATTTTAGCAGTTTTGTTGTTATTAACATTTGATAAATCATATTGGAAAGAATTATTTCCAAAAACATAAAAAAAATACACTAAAAGACAAATTGAATGTATCTCAATAGCTTAACTGGTATACATTAGCAAAAGATCTGTGTTTAGATCCCATATGAGCCAACATACTTTTCTATTTGAGTTTTGGTCAGGGCCTTCCTATTTCTGAATTTTTTCATTACCAGAAACATACAAATAAGCTGGTCCTGCCACATTACAAGACTGCATTTCCAATTTTTTGCTAATTTAGCTGCATTTTATTTTAAAATGCAGCTAAGTCATGCAAATATGATATTTGGGATCAAGCATTAAAAGTGATATTATTAATTCCTTATATAATTTATTTCCTATTTTTTTAATAAAATTACTTTCATTTTAAAAATAAAGAATTTAATAATGGGTGCCTAAGTTGATTTGTAATATTAAATGCAGTTGAATGCACTAGTCCACTTGTAAAGCTTCCTACAAACTTAAGGAAAGCATTGTCTATTTTGCATTTTGCCATCTCAATACTTCACATTACTTTTAGAAGAAAATGTCTCCTTCTAACGAACCTGTATAGACTGCTGCTTGTTACATCTCTTAAAAATAAAACAAAATTTAATTTTGAAAAACTAAAGTTTAATTCTCTCAAAGATAGCATATGAAGTTATCAAAGTAAATGTGCGTTGTTATGTAACTAACAAAAATGACATTTGGCAACAAACATTTTGACCTCAGCAAAAAAAACTATTTAAAACAGTGGTTCCCAAACTTTTTCAATTCTTGGCACCCTTGCTAAATCCAGATTTTCCCAAGGTGCCCTATGTCAAATTCTAACAAGTACATTATACAAATTCCAACATTATAAAAATTTTATAACATTTCGTGGCGCCCTAGAGTGCCACGGCACACACTTTGGGAACCACTGATTTAAAATATTTTGTGGAGTATTGTGTGTTTGTAAAAACCCTTGGATAATAGTATTTTACACTATTTCAGATGTTAATACAGCACATAAGCTGTATTGACATTATTTTTTGAAGATACTTGATTGACAATGATGATATAATTTCAAAGTTTCCTACTAATAAAATTGTCATCAGTCTGGACGTATACAGTAAATGCAAAAATGCACATCTAAACACTTTTTTTTGACCATTTTAAGTTCACTTTTCTTCAAAAATTTGTTGATTGGAATGTTGTCATCTGAATTAAACTCTTCTCTATTGCTTTGTAGAAATCTGGAGTGTCAAAAACAACTTACTTTTTGCTGAACCATATGGGCAAACATAAGCATCATTGCAAAATTTATTGCATAACAAGAGTTTACAGAAGATATTTTTTTGCCACTGTCTATAAAACTGACCATTTTCAAAATAATAATAATTTGTTTCTTATCTATAAGATTTCCTCAAAAATGAAACAAATTTTTGGAATCTTTTGTTAATGTTAAGCTTGATTTCCCAGGATTTCAGAACCTAAAAATACTGGGTGTTGAGCCACAGTCTTGGTTTCTTTTTTTGGATAAATATATGATTTACACATTAAAAAGAATAAAATGTATTATTAATATAAATAATTCAGCAGAAATTAAAATCTGTTTGATTGTAGAGAGGAAATCATATTATTATTATTTATAATGCTTTATTGTTGTCATTCTTTAAAAAAAACAAAATAGAAAAAATGGTGTTTCCTTTTCTATGAAAGAATCAACTAATTTATTGAGATTTTTCAAAACAAATGATAGGAATGATAAAATTATTTGTATTCAATGATTGCTACAACATTAATAAGTTAATTTTACCTGTAATCCTAACTGGAAGGCTGCATCTAACAAAGTCGGATGCCTCGTACCACCATCCGGAGGAACTGAAATTCTGAATGCATCTTGTGCAAGCTTAAACAATTGAGAGGAACTATGAATGTTACGTTGTGCCGATTTCAACACAGTCCGTAACCGTAATACATCACCTGAAAATAAAATTGAATTTCATGTTATATCACTGTTAAACAGTTTTAATTAAAAATTAAAATAAATAATAGTTATTTAAAATTTTAATATGCTTAGTTATTCTAAATTTCAACATGTATCAGCAAAACACATTTACATAGATACTATAAAATGAGCACTTGATATGCTAAAGATCCTGAGTAAACATGTCCAAACAAATTCTGATTTGCAAAATACTGTCATGTTAGATTAATATATTAAAATACATTTAATATATTATTATTTAAAATGACAAAAATATCCAAAACCAATTTTTTTATATATAAATAATTCATCTGTTAGAAGAAAGTAAGTTCTTAAAACAAAAAAATTTAATTTACTGAACTTTAAATGCTATTAATTAAAATAATTTATTACAATTTTCTTTAATTTTTAAGGCATTTCATGTCATGAATGTATGGACTCAAAATATAACTTTAAATAATTTTAGAATTTTTTTTAGGTTTTATACAAAATATATAGTCTTCATCATACTTTTTGCAGCAGATAGCATTGTCGACGCTAGGGCACACTGCTGTACTTCTATATGGCCCAGAGTAAACCACCGAGGATACCGACTTAAAACTGCCGCATTTATGACTGGATGATTTGATTCTTCTAAATCATCTTGCTCCTCAAGAATTGGCAATCTAAATAAAAGAGAAAATTCTAAATGTAATATATAAACAGAAAAAAATTTGGCAAAAAAAGTATGTACATGTTTTCATTCCAAAATAATTAGAATATTAAATTAGATATCATTTAAAGAATATATTTTATTCGTGAAGATATTTTAAGCAGAAAGTCTTTTTTATTATAAAAATTTTTAATATTTTTATTTGTAAATATGAAATTAATTAAAACATGTTTGAGTGACAATGAAGCATCTTCTGATTTAACTAAAATATTTCTATGTCCCCTCTGTCCCACGTGAATTGATACCCAAGCATTCAAAGAACGCTAAAGGAAGAGATCTAGTTTTAAGATAACAAAATTTATTCATTATGTGGCTTAAAAAACAGTTGCAATTGTACAAATACTGAAATTACTTGTATTTAGTAACTTCTTACCTATAATTGAATATTTATTGACCAAATAACACACTATTTAAGACCAAAAACATTAGCGTCATTATCTGTACCTAATCTTAAAAATTTATGAAAAAGTTCTTTCAACAGTAGCTAATTGTTGGATTTTTATCTTCAGATTTTATGATAAACCATTAACATTTTAAAAAATTTTCTTTATTGTCTGTTACCATTAAAATTTTTAATATTCAGACTTTCTAAAACAAAAATTGTTTTTCTAAATGTTATAAATTGGTTCATTTTTTAAAACAAACTTTTAGTTTCAGACAGTTTAAATAAATTGAGTTGTATTATAAAATTTAGTCTGAATAACAAAATAAACTTATCTTTGCCTCTTTATCTCTTTATTTATTAAATAATTTACCTCATTGCTCTAAGACCCACGCTGTATGCAAGGTCAGGATCATAAGGCAAGAGAGCAGTAAACAGGTACTTAGCAAAAGTGTGCATAGGTACACTTTCTGGATGTATGCCACAACCAAGACCACTGAAGGGTCCACCTGTATTAAAATATAATCACAATGTTAATGCCCTAGAGTGCCACGGCACACACTTTGGGAACCACTGATTTAAAATATTTTGTGGAGTATTGTGTGTTTGTAAAAACCCTTGGATAATAGTATTTTACACTATTTCAGATGTTAATACAGCACATAAGCTGTATTGACATTATTTTTTGAAGATACTTGATTGACAATGATGATATAATTTCAAAGTTTCCTACTAATAAAATTGTCATCAGTCTGGACGTATACAGTAAATGCAAAAATGCACATCTAAACACTTTTTTTTGACCATTTTAAGTTCACTTTTCTTCAAAAATTTGTTGATTGGAATGTTGTCATCTGAATTAAACTCTTCTCTATTGCTTTGTAGAAATCTGGAGTGTCAAAAACAACTTACTTTTTGCTGAACCATATGGGCAAACATAAGCATCATTGCAAAATTTATTGCATAACAAGAGTTTACAGAAGATATTTTTTTGCCACTGTCTATAAAACTGACCATTTTCAAAATAATAATAATTTGTTTCTTATCTATAAGATTTCCTCAAAAATGAAACAAATTTTTGGAATCTTTTGTTAATGTTAAGCTTGATTTCCCAGGATTTCAGAACCTAAAAATACTGGGTGTTGAGCCACAGTCTTGGTTTCTTTTTTTGGATAAATATATGATTTACACATTAAAAAGAATAAAATGTATTATTAATATAAATAATTCAGCAGAAATTAAAATCTGTTTGATTGTAGAGAGGAAATCATATTATTATTATTTATAATGCTTTATTGTTGTCATTCTTTAAAAAAAACAAAATAGAAAAAATGGTGTTTCCTTTTCTATGAAAGAATCAACTAATTTATTGAGATTTTTCAAAACAAATGATAGGAATGATAAAATTATTTGTATTCAATGATTGCTACAACATTAATAAGTTAATTTTACCTGTAATCCTAACTGGAAGGCTGCATCTAACAAAGTCGGATGCCTCGTACCACCATCCGGAGGAACTGAAATTCTGAATGCATCTTGTGCAAGCTTAAACAATTGAGAGGAACTATGAATGTTACGTTGTGCCGATTTCAACACAGTCCGTAACCGTAATACATCACCTGAAAATAAAATTGAATTTCATGTTATATCACTGTTAAACAGTTTTAATTAAAAATTAAAATAAATAATAGTTATTTAAAATTTTAATATGCTTAGTTATTCTAAATTTCAACATGTATCAGCAAAACACATTTACATAGATACTATAAAATGAGCACTTGATATGCTAAAGATCCTGAGTAAACATGTCCAAACAAATTCTGATTTGCAAAATACTGTCATGTTAGATTAATATATTAAAATACATTTAATATATTATTATTTAAAATGACAAAAATATCCAAAACCAANTTCTTAATGTAATAACAAGTTTCAAACATAATTAGAATATATAACAAATTCATTTTTCAAGTGCCTTGCAAGTTCATTTTAGTTTGTATTTAAAAGAATAATGCTCTCTAAGTAAAATATTTTTGTTGATTTTTAAGTATAACATTGCATGAAATTTAAAATGGAATTTGCTTTTTAATATCTGTCAGCTCAATGAACAAGACAGTAAAACTTCATTTGCAGTCTTGAGGTATCCAGTTTGAAATAGATATATGTATATATATACATATATTTTTTTTTTTGTTCTAGGCCCAGATACATTAAGCATTGTTCCTCAGTATGCAGTCAACCACATTATGGGACGGAAACGTCTGTAATGGGCAAAATTGAATTGGTTTTACAGATCATAATATGCTACTGCTTCATGTCAACAAGTTCATCTTTAATGTGTGATGTATTCAACTATGAAAAAAAAATCATATTTAGTTACTTTCTATTACATTTATCATTTATTAATTGAGACTTTGACACCTTATTAATATTTTTAATAATCATCTTTATCATAAAAAAAGTCACTATTTAAACTTGAGAAATGAAATAATAGTTTATGAACATAAACCATTATTTTTATGAAATAGTTTATATAAATTAGATCATACCATTTCTTCTTTTATATCTTTTTCTGCCTATTTTAAAAATCAGTCATTTTCACATCTTTTTATATATGTTTTCTTCAAAGAACTTTTTAAAAAATATTATTTGTAATGATAGGAATAAAATGGAATGGAATAAATAAACAAACTCTTTTACTGCATATAAGAATATTCATTGAATAATGTTTTAAAAATTCTTATCATTGTTTAGAATGCCCCAAAAAAAGTATTTGAAAATGTTATCAAAAGTTAAATACCTTCTAATAATAACATTGCTTGCTTTCTCAAAACAGCAACTAAAGTACCATCCAATTCAATGTCTTGCAATTTAGTGATAAGATGATCTTCTTGTTTGCAAGCTTTTTCCTGAGCATAAAGGCCTGGAGGCATGATTCTTTGTTGTCCTAGACCAATTAGAGCGGCTTCTACAGCAAGAGACAAAAAAGTTTCACTTCTGTCTCGACTACCGGGAACGACGACGTGTTGATAACGAGGTTGCTCTCTTGGTGGAGAACTGCCGTCTTCATTTGAATTTCCTATTGTAAAATCTGTTGGAAGAAGATGATCAATTTTTTGTTATAACTGATGAAATTTTTAATCTATTTAAAATACTCAATTAATTAAGTAGAATAAAGCAAATTTACAAAAATTTGCTTTATTCTACTTAATTGAGAGATTAAAATTTGATGTAAGTTCACTTAAAATTTCATTACTCTATTTAATATTCAAAGCTAATTTTCATATTTTGTTTAAAATGTCATTATTTTCTCGTTTCAGAATTCAAATTTAATGTAGAAAAATGTCAATTATAATAGAATCGTGTGATATCAAATTAATAATTAATTTCATATTTTTGGTTATTCAACATTATTAGTGATGCTATAGTTGAACCATTTAAATGCCAAATTGATTACAATAAGTTATACAAAAATGTAAAAATAGTATATCCTTGGAATAATCCTTATTATTCTATTTGTTGTTAGATAAAAGCTATGTCTGTAATAACACATTCTACAATGTTTATTTAAATTTTTAAAAATATACATTATTTTTTATCGATTTCTATAAATTTTGTTTTACGGAGTTAATCAATCTGGCAAATGAGTAACTCGATTAATTGTTCATTGTGACTATCACTGTAGGTCATTATTTTGCAAATAAGAATATATGGATAAGTAAAATGTTTATTGGTTCTTTGTAACATCTGTCATTGATGATGTCAGAAAGCTAAAACAGCAATGATTGTTGGATGGAATTGATCACATGACTCATCACGACACACTGAAACACTCAGACTAATATCCTGCTTTTTACATTTCATAACAAATTTGAAATTACAAGGATTACAAATAACCTTATTTTTAATACAGGGCTGCGGAGTTGTGTTTTTTTACCGACTCCGCAGCCCCTTGCTTAGAAAAGAAAAATATGAACTCTGATCAATTAGTCTGGCTCATTCAGAAAAATAGAGTACTTATTTAGAGCAGGGATAATAAAGGAATGATTCAAAAATATTCAAATTCAATTGGGTCAAAATAATTTAACTACTAAACACAAATAATAAAAAGAATACTACATATTTAATAAATTAAATTGATGCATTTTTGTATTTTGTTATAATTCATTTATTTTAAATACAAAAGATTTTTAAAAATTAATAAGTTTTCTTTCATTTACATAAAAAAAACTAAAGTAAATTTAAAATGCAGGAGTCGGAGTTAACACATTTTTTCCGATTCCGACTCCTCTGGCTAGAAATTCCTCCCAACTCTGACTCCACAGCCCTGTTTTAATCATCTAAAAATGTATTAAATTCTTACCATAGAACTGATCAAATGATTTGGCATCTGGAAGTAGAGATGATTCCGCTAAGGTATCAAAAAGTGAACCAACGGGATCAAGAGGATGGCCTATCCAACCTTCTGTGTTGCAGTGTAATGGATGATTTGTTATCCCAGAACTAGAACATGACACCACTGTAAAAAGTAAGATTATTTTTATTAATAATTTTAAAAGTAAATTTTAAAACATTTTATTAACTACACATTTTTATTACACAATTATTTATTGAATTATTAAATGTATTACTAAATTATCCATTTTCCTTTAAAAGTATGGATAGCTGCATTATATTAAAATATTCCAAATTTGTGTTCTAATTAAATATTCTATGTAGTAATTTACTATTAATTATTATTATTATAACCAAAAAAATTAATGTTAATATAATTATCTAAACATGTCCAGATCTGTATCAGTAAAAACACTGATCAAGAGAAAATAAATACAGCAGATCCCACTTTTATAATGTAATTGGTTCCTGGAAAATTATTGTAAATTAAATTACCTTATTTTCCTGAAAACACAGTTTTAATTACATAATAATTCACAGAGACAATAAAAAAATACAACACAAATACAGTACTTAGAAAATTTTTCCTGTGTAAAGTGAGTGATCATAATGCAAGTATCTACTAGATAAACAAATACTGTACTTGAATCTAATTTTCAAAAAAGTCAAAACACTTTTGGATCAAATTTGATCCATTTTTGGCCATGAAATTTTACAGGTAACAAAAATTTAGAAAATTTTATTCATTTTCTAAAATCTTTCTTGGTACATTAATAACAAGGCCATGCACATGGAGATTAACCTCTCCCATATTGTGTATAACAGGCTTCATTCTGTTTCTCCTTAATCTACTGCATTGCTTTACTCTATTATTCGTACAGTATAGGTACATAAACGATACTTTACATTATTTTCTTATAATATATTTTTCTTAAATTCCATTCTTTTAAAAATTTCATGCATAGGCCTTATTAATAACAGTCACATTATTGAATTACTTTAAATTCCTCTATTATGATTTATTTGATATAAAAAGTTTTGATAGCTATTCTTATATTAATCTAAAATATCCAACTGTGACAAATTCTGAATTTATTTATTATTATAAAATGGTTGAATGTACAATTCTGTAATGATAAAGTTTTAAAGACTATACTACGTCAAATCAGAAAGTACAAGAAATGAGCAACAGTTATAAAATATAGCTGAATATGCAGATTACTCATGTAAATAATAAACTTAAACACATCAGTAAAATATCTGAAAGTATAGAAGAGCAATAGTAGACATAAATCATACAAATAATAGAATTCATATAGAAAGATAAAAGCAATAAATAATTTAAAGTACTAAGATTAGAAACCCTAGTAATATTACATTGGTTTATGACCCAATAAACTATTACTAATGTTTGTCAAACTAGGGAGACATGAAATGTCATGGGGGTCATAAAACATTTAAATATTTTCAGAATAATTTTTAATAAATACAGAAAAATACAGCATAACAAATTTATTTCTTACAAACTAAAAGCATTAATTTTTCTTTGAGCTAAAAAGTTTAAATAGAAGCTCAGTACTAATGAACAAATATTTTGCTTTCTTTCATTCACCAATATAAAATGCCTCTATCAGTCATTTCAGTTGTCAATAGCTTTTAATTGAATGCATTTCGTGTCTGTGTGTTCATAAAATGTGTATGTATATGCAGTGTTCTCAGCAGAAATTTTCATCAACCAGATAAAGGTATAGCCAGGTGGACCCAAAATAAATATTGCATATTATAAAATTCACTATTATTTGAGTCATGTTCTCATGTATTTTTATAAATTAATTTGTGATAAGGTTATTTTAAAATCATAAGATTTTTGTTGTTTTCTGTTTCAATCAAAAGATAATCATTAACATTTCATAAAATTCTACATCTTAACCTTCTTCAAAATTAATTGCATTTGCTATAATAATATTAAATCTAATATAGTTATTTATCGTAATTATTCTTTGACAATTTATTATGATTATTATAATTTTCTTGACAGCAGGAAAATTTCTTTACCTCCTCTCTCCTGCTCGGTCTGCCATCTACACTGCCATTCTCTTTGTTGCCGTTTCATAGTTCTTACAATTGCAACAGCCAAACGCAATGCTTCTTGTTGGTAGCCATGAGAACGTAATGCTTCGACACGAGCACAGGCAGTTGGGATATGTTCTGAGAAAAATTAGTGCAAAAAAATTGTAACATTACCCTTTGCAAATAAATTTAGAATACTCAATATTTTGATAATTATATTTTATACAAAAATAATTTGTTTTTTTATTACCATGCCAAAGTGGATAACCCTGAGAATTAAATGGTCCTGACAATGGAAGATCAGCGCTCGACGTCTGACTATCATTGGCAAGAATAAATTTTAAATGGGGATCGTCCCAGCTGAGATGACAAGCTTCTAAAGCTCTGTGAAAAATTGTTCGAGGTTGAGGAGGTTGATGATGGCTAGGCGAAGGGGGAGGTCTCTCTTGACCATGAGGCTCTGTAAATATGTCAAAATTTATAAATATTAAATTCTTCATCCATATTTGAATTATTTTAAAAGGTATAATTATATCAGTCAAACTGAATCTACCATGTTATTTTATACATTCCAGTATAAATAGATTTAAATTAGTGATAAATTGTAATTTATTATAATTTCATTTGTTTAACAATTTCAATATGATAATGATTAAGTTTATAAACAATATTTTATATCTGAATCAAGTTCTTTCCATTAAGTTCTATGTATATAGACTTTAATTATTACTTATTTATATGTAAAATATATTTGAATGTCTTATTTCAATTTATATAAGTCATTAAGTTGTATAATAAGTTTATTTATAAGTTATGACATTTTTATAAGTGCTATTATAAAATACTGTTTATAACTAACTTGTATAAATACTCAAACTAAATAGTCATTTCAAGTGATTTGAGACAAAACTTTTCTAAATGTAGCATCACTGTAATGAAGAATGAAAATACACTTTAATCTCTTGTTAGGTTTCTTCTAGATAGTAGAAAAGCCAACATAACATTAAGTAAAAAAAAGAATAGAGACTTATTTATTTTAATTTCATAATTACTTAAAATTGTAATGTTAAAAGTTTGCAGTTAACATTTCTGTTTAATTTTATATAATACTTTGCAAATTTCTTAATATATTTTTATAGAAATAAAAAATAAGTGTTTCAAATTATCCGAGAGAAAGTTGAATTCTTATAATAGAATACAATAAACATTGTCTCAGTCAAAGAATAGCCAAAGTTATAAAATATGTTTCTGGTATTATGAAATTCATTTTTAAGTTAAGATGCAAAATTTGTAATCATAAACAATAGTCTACGTTTATCATTCTGAGTTATAGCTTCTCAAGTACTACAAAGCGACAAAACTAAAGTGTTCAAAACAACCAATTTAGAATGATTAAGAGTAATTTCATTGCATATGTATAAAAAGAAATAAACAATCAATACAGAGCAGCAATACTTTTCAAATTAAATATTAATGATGAGTGATGAAGACAATCAAAAATATTCATTTTCATATTAAAAAATTGCTGATGTATATATATATCAGCAAATATGCAAATTATACATATATTGCTGATATCAATCGGCAATTTTTTCATATAAAAAATTTGTTGGGTGTGTATATTTATTGTTTATTTTTATTTATACATGCCTAACATTCTTTAAAATATATGTTTTTTCAGATAAATAATGACACAAATACTTCTTGGTTTGGATGAAATGAGCTTCAAGGGGAAAAAAAGTATATCTGTTTGTTTATTTATATTTTTCTATTTTTAAAAACAAAATTAATAAAAATCTTATATAAAGTTCATCAACTTTGTTTTTATGAAACTGTTGGTCATAAAACATTTAAATATTTTCAGAATAATTTTTAATAAATACAGAAAAATACAGCATAACAAATTTATTTCTTACAAACTAAAAGCATTAATTTTTCTTTGAGCTAAAAAGTTTAAATAGAAGCTCAGTACTAATGAACAAATATTTTGCTTTCTTTCATTCACCAATATAAAATGCCTCTATCAGTCATTTCAGTTGTCAATAGCTTTTAATTGAATGCATTTCGTGTCTGTGTGTTCATAAAANATATAATACTTAGTATTCTGGAATTAATTTTAATCATCTTTGGAGTGGTGAAATTTATAATTATATGAGATAATATTTGAGTCTTATCTATCTTTATGGTGTTTGGTTTTCTGTTATAAAATAAATGACATAAATCAGTTTGACTTTTCCAGATTTGTAAAACTTGAATTAAAAAGTACCATTTCCTTCATCATCCGAAGAATCCGAAGAACTATCGTCCACCAAAGGCATTCTACCACCGCCATTTACCATTCTTGTGGGGCGGAAGTCAGCATCTTCCAACGGACAAATGTGCATATTTGCCCATTTTTCTAACAGGCTTCGACACTGCTGTCGCTCTAATTGTGTGGAGTGGGGATTCAGGACTATGCAGACCCATAGTGCACCTAAAATTACACATTAAATACAATCAAATGGGTAAGATTATAAAATTATTTTAAATGCATACTTTCAGTTTAATTCATGACTTATTCAGAAAATTCTTATAAATAATTTCATAAAAATATTTATTTACATTAGAAACAATAAAACTCTCACAAAATTGAGGATTTTTGTGTGAATATTTACTATAAACATCACATATTTTTAAATGTACTAGCCTTCAGATCAAAGCAATCCTTAAGTGAGAGAATAAAACAATAATTGCATGAATAAAATATTAAGACTCAAATAAACTATCAGATTATAAAACTTAGTTATAAAAGAGTGAGCTTGTTTTTGCTAACTTGTAAAGAAGTTCTTCACTATTTTAAAACTTTGCATGACTTTATCAAAATAAGAAAGGATAACAGAAACTCAGAATGGGAGACAGTAATTCAACATTTCATCTTCAGCTTATCATACCGACTGTATAGTGCAAAACCTGTCTAAAATAGTAAGTAAGACACTCTAAAGACAGAACAAAGTGAAATACTTTCTTGTCTAATATACAAATAGAAGGCCTTTTGGAAACTAATTTCTTAATTTTACCTAACAACAGTTACAGTATTAATTATGATTTAAAATTTAACTTGTGGGTTCAGATCAAGATTGACTTCTCAGTGACGAGATACAGTCTATCTTCTTTTTTTCTTTCTTTGTTAAAATTATACTTTTATCATCTGGAAAATAGCAGTGACAATACAACACCAATGTTTCTCTCTAACTGTTCTCTAAAAGAGTTAATCAATAAAAACCTAATCCTCTATATAACAGAAACCTGGAAAATAAAATTCTGGCTTATACCATTGCATTCCGTTTTAGCAAGTTTTACTATACAGGTATCCCTCATACAACATGGCATTTCTACAATACTGTTTTTGGTTTCTCTGTAACACACTTCAAGAGTTTGGGAAATCCTCCATACAAAACTTCACAACTTTTAAGTGCAAACTCTGTTATTTTTTTTTTTATTCAAACAAATGTGTGTTGTCTCAAATTTTCCCACCAATTTTAGAATATTGACATTTTCAATTTGTTTTGTGTCTTTCGTCAGGTTTACTTCAATGAAAACTGATAGCTAGGACAAGGAAGAAGAAAATTGCACTTTCCTATTAACCAGGTAATGCCTCCTGGGAGGTCTTTTATGGAAAACTGGCCCCTATTTAGATTTAGCTAGTGTCAAGAAAACCTGAAAAACTCCCCATGGCCAACCTGTTGGTGACACGCGAACCCACGACAAGCTACTAGTGATCAGTGGTTTTATCCGCTCAGCAACTGATGACCTTAGTAACAGAAAAGAATAGTATACTTTTGTTAACTTTTGGAACCTAACCCCATGTTTTGTATTTGTTTCATATAGAATGGTTTTGCATAACACAACACTTTTTTCATAATCTAACTACCATGTTATACAAGGGAACCTGTATTTTAAAAACAGATTAATTCAGTGCAATAGATAGAAAACTTTCAAATAATATAAATTATACTGAGTGAAAATGATATATTTTCATAATCTAATAAAAAAAAGTTCTTTATAGAAAATAATGAATTAATATGCTATAAACATTCCTGTTTAGACATTAAGTTAAAAATTTTGTCCTTTTTTTAATTATTCAGTTTATTCTCTAGTATAAACCCTGAATTTCAATGACATCATGCAAATTTATCATTTTTTCATAATTAATATAAATTAAGATATTATTTGTTGTTTTAAAAAATGCATTGACCATAGCAGAAATAAAACCATAATGAATATTTAAAACACGTTTCAATTTCTATAAAATTGAACATTAGTAATACTTTTAACTAAAACGATATATTAAATATATATATAAATGTAAGAATAATAAATATAGTTCTTACCAAGTTGGTCCCATAGTTGACGGCATTTATCTGTCATGGGAGTACCCTGAGAAAGCCAGATAACCAATCGAGGATCAGCTAGGAACTGTTCTGTGATTAGCCTAAGCATACGGGCACCATTAGAATCTCTAGCTCTTAACATTTCCTTAACCTGTATAATTAAAGACATTAAATGAAATTTTTAATATATTTTTTTAATAATTATTGCATAGTATTTTATTATAACAAATATTACATATAAATGAAATTCTTCTGATTGCTAAAACAATAAACATGATGATCATATAAGATGGCTCACACACATATACATACTATGTTAGGCTCAAAGATTGAAAACACTCAATGAATACAGCAAGTTCTGGTATTTTTTAAAACCCATGTTGCAAAATTTGTTTTGGGACTATTTAAAAAATTGGTGTTCCAGAAACATTAACATAACAGAATATATTGTTGCAGAAGCAACATTGAGGCATTTTTATCACACACGCAAACAATCTGCAATCTTAACCTCCTCATTAAGGAAGCAGAGTGGAACCAGTTCAGTCATTCATCAGTTTTCATCTGATGTCATATCAGTGAACAAATTTAGGCTTTATCAATTGGGCACCAAAGAAGGCCTACTTGAGAGGTTCTAAGCTCACAATGAGTTTACAACTGCCGACAAAAAACTTCATTGACATAGTGAATTCGAAGGCATATCACGTATCTCTTCGGTCTCAAATATAACATCTGGAAGTAAAAGGGTTTTGTAAGCTGTACTGTGAAAGGTACTGTATCTATAAAAAAGATAGAATTGCACTTAATTTTGCAGGAACTGTTATCAACTGTAATATTAACTGAGCTTAGCCACTGTTCTTGATTAGGATATATGATTAAATAGCTATAATAAATTCTTTGTTTGCTACAAAATAAACAGGAAATGATTGATATGATACATTGCTAATGTTGGAATTCATTGTGATAATTTTTTTTAACAGTTCCAAAACAAATTTTGCATCGTGGCATGTTTTAAAATGTGAGAATGCAAAATTTCTTGTTTTGGTTATTTCTGTAAAGCTACAACCTGCTCAATGAACAGAAAAGAATAACCAGAATATTTTTTATCTTTGCTTTACACATAATACACACAATGCATTGTTGCAGATATATATGTAAAACGTCAGGCACAAAAAATTCTCTTTCCAGTTCTAGAGTCCATACTGAATGAATAACTGGAAATCGTCTAGGAAGATTAAAGAATTTTGCAAATGGGCACAGGGAAAAAATAACAGTAATCATCAATGCCATTTAACAGAATTGAGATTCAACCAATCATCTCTGTTAAATGTCAAGATTAAAACAGACAACCGGTGAGACCAACCATTACCACTCACTGTCTTAATTTTCCTGCTATTGTGTATCAGTTTTAAGAATGGTTAAAATATAGTGTTTTCCATGCTATAATAGTTGAAGATTGATAGAAACACACACTTAGAGCACTGAGGAATTTCAATAAATAGATATTCAGTTTTAACATTTTATTATTGATTTTGTTTCTTCTTATATACCTAATTGAAGATTTATATATCAAAATTATTATTTAGTGTAGAAAGTCTATTATTAATCAAATAAAAACATTCTTAAATTTACATAAGTAATTTCCCTTGTAATATTAAAATTCTACCTTGGAGAAAAGAGCATTGAGTTGTTTATTTGCACTGTAATAGCCTCCCTGAGACAGGTATGTACGGACTTGTTCACTAACTTGCTCCTCATCTAAATGCCACGAATGTTCTTCATCTGCCGGAGCTCCAGCGGTAGGATCAGGTGCCCCTATATAAAGACATTAATTTAAATACTTACTTTCTATTTTTTTAACAGTAAAATATTCTACACAAGTTTAAATAATTAATGAAAAAATACCTGCAATGCGATTGATAATGGAACGGGTCTGAAGTATATCATCAGCTAGTCGTTGAGCTGTTGGTAATACTTCCGTATGATGTTCTGCAATGAGGTATTGTACTAACTTTTGCAATTGTTGCCTGTCTAACTGGAGAAGAGTTTCTATATAAAATAAAATATATATTATTTAATTTTAAAAAAGTAAAATGATTGAAAATAATAATTTTAAATTTATTTAAAACATCACAACTTTTGCATAAAATGTTAAAATTATAAAAGTTATACATCCAATAACGTCTACATTCACATATGTGGAACCGTGATGTTTACATGACTAAGGTGGAGGCAGCAACATTCTACAAAATACAGAGAGAGAAAGAGAACATACCAACTGCAAAATTAAGCTATTAAAGTAACTAGTCAAGACAAAAAAACTAAATGCAACTGACAAAGATAAAAACAGATGAAGACTGCTCACTCCAGATATATGTCCCCACAGTTTCATTTGACTTTTAGCCAATTGAATATTTGAAGCAGAGGTCTGAAATGCCCATTTGCCAATCAGCATAATTCATAAGTCTGTAGTAATTGATTAAAGCCCAAGAAAAAGGGTCTATTAAAGGTTAAGTAAAAGTTTAAATATTTGAGTTTTTGATAATAGTAAAGTGTTTTAGTTTCACATCCTTTCTCTTCTTACAATTGTTTGAAAAGAATGAAGTTTGCTAATTCTGTGGGAACTGTAGTTTTCTATAATTTATTGTTTATAAGGAATTTTAAAAGTCTGTAACTAATAAATTAACCTGTGATTTCTTTGAGCAAATTTTTAAATCTGTAATCTCATATAGTAATATGTATAACATAAAATTTGTAGACATATTTTTGCATGTTAACAGGTATTTTACTCTATTGTTTGTTAATTTTTTTTTATGTAGTGTATATACATATAAAGTTAAATCTGTAAATTGATGACTGGTAAAATAATTTTAAAACTTCACAAATAGAAAATATTTAAGTTGGTCAGATGACTGCATCAATAACAATTTCCTTCTCACCAAGAAACAAATACTTCCAAACTAACCAACCAATTTTCATCATGAAATACCAGGCATGATAAACCTGTAGATCAGTATTGATTATTGGCTATAAATTTCTATACTGTACTGTATTTTGGTACAAGAGAGCATGATGATATAAAATGTGCTCTAACTAAATTCTGTATTGTAGCAGATTATTGCAATTATTTAATCAAAAATTAAATAAATCTTTATCATTTACATTAATGTATGAGTTGTAATGGAACAAAATTTAAGTATTGTGAATAATATGTAATGGTAAATACAGCTAAATATAATATTATAGTGAAGCATAATTGAATGAATTTATTAAGTAAACTTTAATGTATAATAATAAAAATTGTTTAGAATATATAATTGGCATTTTATTTATTATTATTATCTATATTAAACAACACAAATCAACATAAATTATTAATAATGGTTTACTCAGAATTCTATGATTAATAAAAACTATTTAATTAATAGATTAATTATGAATTATCTGGTTTACTTAAATTTTTCCAGTAAACATTCAAATGCAGCAAAGGGCCAGTTAAATAGATGTATATCAGACACAGGCCACATTCAATATTAGTTGATAGACTAAAAACATACTGTAACAGCAATCATTTATTGTAACATCCCAATGCCGGGCTGCAATTTTTAATTGTATTTTTAATTTATTTAATTTAAAATATATGCTTTCTGCCTCAAATTAATAGTGTCTTGCCCTGTACATCACACTTTTCCTGTTATCAATAGAGTCGTGCCAATCATCTATATAACTCCATCAAAGGGAAAATTTTGAACTAAAATAACATGACTTCTAGTTTGCATTGGATGTTTTTTAAATAGTTAATCGGGGCCTCCAGCCCTAATCTCTCCATACCTCATCTTGGCTTTCATCTGTCTAATTCCATTCTTGAAATTAAGGAAGGACATATAGTCTGACTGATGACAGTAGGAATTTATAGGGCTACAATTTTTTCAAATTGCAGCCCGATTAAAATAAAAGCTCTAACAAAGGCCATTTTGTTGTTGGGCCTTTACAACTTATGTAAATAGTTAGATGTTAGAATTTTTCTCTTTAAATGCTTTGCAAAATGTTGGATAATTTCTTTTCTAAAAAGCAATGTTTCTATCTTGTGGGCCTCACATAAAGCCTTAACAGGCTGTATCCAGCCTGCGGGCCACTAGTTCGCAACCCGAGTTAGATAGCAATGGAGTTGTGTTGGTTATCTAACGGAAAAGTATGTTATATAGGGGCAAGACACTACAGTACTAATTTGAGGTGTAAAATGTATATTTTAAATTAAATAAATTAAAAATTGCAGTCCAGCATTGTGTTAATGTCACAATAAATAACTGCTTGTTTATTTTGAGATTATCTTCCTTCAGCGTACAAGCATATGTAAACAAGATTTGCAAAAATTGACTGTCCATTCCTGATATAAAGGATAATTAATCTGCAGCCTTCTCTGACTTTTTCCACGACTCATACTATCGAGATCCTTAATTAAACATATTTATATATCATATATAGCTTTTTGATTTTTGTTCCTTGGATATGATAAATAATTAATAAAATGTAAGTTTCCTTTAGAAATTAGTGGACTTAGAAATTGTGTGAACTGCAAATTGAAATTAATGTTTAATATTTTTTCTTAAATTTTTGTCAGTGATTATAAATAAACAAGAATTATATAATTTTATTACTTATATTACATAAAATCTAATGTTTTTAGCATTTTGGCTGAATCTCACATCAAAATAGCATCGTATGCTCTCTTGCTGTGGAAAGATTTTAATGTATATGGTAGATTGCAAATAGAATAACAAGTATATATATATTATAATTATTGTTTTGGATTAAAATAAATATAGAATATATATATATATTCTATATTGAGCGCATGCATATATATATGCGCTCGTTATTCTTAATCTAAAACATTGCTATTATTCATTGTCATCATCAAGAATAACAATTGAAAGCAAATTAAAAGAATTTTTTAAAATGATTAAATGAAGTTTGTAACAAAAATAAATATTATTTTATTAAGAAATTTATTTGAAAATTAGCTACAGAGTAAGATTTAACAAACTATCTTATATCATTTGGTGTAATTTCTTAAATTAAAAATCAATTTTGTAAGTAGTCTTTCTATTCTACATAAACTTTATTTTAATTTTTATATTTATTATAATAGGTGTATAGATTACGTAATTGTCTACAATGAAGAAAAGACTGAGGGGACGAGAAATAGAAGAGCAAGCCCAGAAAAGAAGTATACAAGGAATAATAACATCCAATATGTTACAAAGAAAATAAGCCTGTTTTCTTCACATTTATGGAAATTGCAATGAAAAAATATTACACATATACAACACTTATTACTGTTATTATATCAATTATTATAAAATCAATTAATTTTAACTACATAAACAAAGATATTCTTTTTAATTTAAAAATTAAACAAAGTGCCGAGACAAAAATAGTAATAAAACAAGAATTAACGGTAAAATGCTTTTATTATATTATATCTATCTAAGATATTATAAGAATATATGAAACTTTCAATTTAATTAGAATTAAACAAACATTAAAATATCATTGTACATTAAATAATAGATGCGAGTATCAAATCTGCTTATTAAAGTTTGTAAGAAACAATTAATTTGAATGTTTTCCGCTAATATTTTCTTATAAAAACTCTAAACCGCCAAGAACTGTTTAATCGGAATTAATAAAATATTAATTATATTTAAACGTAACCTTGAATGTTCTTTTTTTTTTTTCAATACGTTAATCAAATATTTTATTGTAATAACATTAAAGACGGATAAATTAATACAGTTTAATAACCACACCGCAATATACGTTATTTATGCTTCGATATTTTTAATCAAAACAGAATAATTCCTAATTAACAAATTTTTTTAAAAATCTAAATAATTCTTTCATTCTCATTAACAATTAATTTTGCCAACAGATGGAGTCACTTTTGAGTTCTACAGTTATACATATATAGAAAAAAAAGCATTAAAGTATAATTTAAATATGTATTTTTATGCGCATAAATTATGGATTGTGAAAACCTTACTGCCAATAAAAATAAAAATAGAAATACTAACTTTTTTCAAATATATTGTACTTTTTTAATTGAAAAATATTTCTTGTCAACAATTATACTAGGCTTATATACAGTAACAATGTCATATTATAAATTACTTTTTTTAATTAATTTCTTACGTGTTGTTATGTTTCACATCATATGTGTAATTTAAATTTATATAAGATGATATACAAAAAAATAATCTCGATAATTATATTGGAACATTTAAGTATCAAACATAAAACGTTATCTTAAGTAGATCTAAAGTTAACTTCCCCCCCTTTTTTTGGTTATATTATCATTGGGCTGCAATTTGAAAAAATTGTAGACCTATAAATTCCCACTGTTGTCTGCTTGTCTGTCTGTCCGTCCTTCCTTAATATCGAGAACGGTGCTAGATAAATGAAAATTCAAGACCAGGTATGGAAACCTTAGGGATAGGAGGCTCCAATTAACTATATATGAACTTCTGATGTGTTATTTCAATTCAAAAATTTTCTACTGAAAGGAGTTAGTTAGATGATAAGCACGAGCTCCATTGCTAATGGAAAAGTATGATTATATAGGAGCAAGACATAACAGTACTAATTAAATAAATTAAAAATTTCAGCCTAGCATTGTGACGATGTCACGATAAATATTTGCTCATTGTGATTACTAATGCTTTTTCATTATATTTTCTTGTTTTTTTTTTTTTTACACATTAACAGTTAAATTGGCCGTTATGACGATATGAAATTTGTTGATTTTTTTTCTTTTTTTGCCTTAACAGATTGTTTTTGTAACAAACATTTGTTTTATTTCTTCTTCATTTGAAATCACTTGCAAATATAGACAATCAAGAACATATTAAACCAACTTTCGTAATATTCAAAAATATAATGTTATAACATCAAAAATTTTAAATGTCTAATTGAGTGTATGTTTTAATATTAAAAGTTCTATAAAAATATAATGAAATCAAATTATAGATTATGACAAAATTAGTATAATTAACCTCAGGAGTGCCCTTATATTGGGACATATGTTCCCTTTTTCACCTGGGTTGCCCATTATCAACAAACGACAGAAAATCCATGATTTCTAGCATATTCTGCAAATACACAAGAAATTAATAAATGGTATTTGTCCATTGTTCCATGCAAGCTATTCCAGCTATTTTTATGTAGTAGTTTGTTGCATGTTGATCAAAACCACATTCCTTGTTTCGAGGCCTGTATGACTATTTTACTCTAAGGAAATGTGATAGAGAGTTATATTTCTAACTCTACATATTTGCCGTCCCTCCATCTTTTGAACTGAGAATCTGTTTCTGAACCATTTGTCAGCCTGAGCTAGAAATTCTCTGCCTTTTTCAGATAATCATGACACCTTTAATGCACTGTTTTTATAAACATGGATACACAACAAATATTAAAAAATCTTCAAGTTTGCTTGTATGGCAGTGTCGTCTTAGAAATTATCCGCTCTCCAAAAATTAACATTTTCTTTGAGTTCAACATTGCCGGACACACAAGAATTTCAATGAGAGCTTTAAATTTCCACATGCCAAAATCACATTCAGCCCACCAGTCGCTAAATAGATAACATCATGGATTTGCACCTGATCAACAGGATGGCCAAATGTAAGTTTTTCAGGTTTCCTTCGTGTGTCTAAACCAACTAGGATCCAGTTTCCCATTAAAACCTTCCTAAGAGGCATTTTCTCTTGGCAGATTGCCCATATGTTGCGATTTTGGATTGAACACATTCTCTAGGCTAATTAATATGAAACACCATACAAACTCTTCCAGCAAAATAATATGTATTGGCATCATAAAAATGAATGTTTTTGGCTTTTCGGAGGCCCACATCAGGCATCAATCATTACAGAACATTCAGCTTTTGAAGACTTTCAACTTATTCTCTAGGCTTTAGGATTTATCTATTTTTGTAATTTTACTTTATATTTAATTTTTTTAAATGCCATTAGTTAGTATATATTTGAATCTACAATTTTCTATTGCTACATTATCTGAAAATATTGACACAGACATAATCTCATCATATTTTTTATTAAGTCCAGATCAAAGGTTCATATAATAATTAAGATTAACTAAAAAAAAAATTGATTCATTAAAAACATTGTGGTCAACTACATCCATAAACCTGTTACCAGTGTGAAACTCAAATAAAAATGAAAAAACAGTTCCTCACAGACACTTTCGAACCATAAACGGTTCTTCTGAGGATGTAGTTAACTTTACCCCGGTGTTGATTATTGCTGTTATTTAACATTTTGATCTGGAATTGACAAAAAGTTATTAACTCAGTATGTCACTATTAAGAATTAAGAAGATTTAAATTCCAACCCGGTGTGTTAGGAAGTTAAATAATGCCACTATTAGTCTGAAACAGTGAAAGTAAGTAAGTACACCTACAAATTTTACATGTCATTATGGTCTGACAGAAGATGCATTTATTTCAATGAATCATGTTATCTATTTTATCTAAGTCATAAAATATGGCAGATGAATTACAATATTAAATATTCAATTTTTAGAAACAAATCTTAATGTATGTCTATTTATGTAATTAGAATTGAAATAATAATGAAACAAATTTATTATTAATCCATGCAGATATTTATTCCATAATATATAACTTTCGTCTCATATTTCCTAAAGGAAACAAGCAAGTATCAGTGAGTATACATGAGATATTAATCTCTATCAGTAAAAACATTTTGTCAAAACAGATTTGAAAAACAGAAATAGAAATAAAATTCTCCACCCTCAAATGATACTTGTTTATACATTTGTTTGACTCTCCAATGTAAGAGAGTTGTTTTTTTAGGAAATTTTTCTAAATTGTTGCTTTTTCCATGAATAAATAAAATCATAGCATTTAAAACTTCTAAGATTAAAATCAAGAAATAATGGAAAGTTATGCAAATATATAGAAATTTATATTACAATCAGAAGTATATATGATATATTTCATTTATAACAAAAACTAACAAAAACTAGATATTAAAACAAGTTTTCACAATGTTCTTATGTTGGATTGATATTTTGTTTCTTTGCCTATCTGGAATTTTCAGACAGGTAAAGAGCATTCGTTTTTCAATTTAATCTCAGGAGAAATGCTGTGAAATAGACAATGTAACAATGTATTAATATCCACAGAATAGAACTATTTGTCCCGAAATCTGAATCATTGGAATACAGTTTTAAGCTCATCTTCTGATTGAAATTGCTTTCACCAAAGTATTTCTTCAATGGGCCAAACAGATGAAAGTCTGAAAGTGCTAAATTGGGACTATAAAGGGATGCAAAAGGATTTCCCAACTAAATATTTTCATTCCCTGGTTTTCTGAGCAGTGTGCAGCTGTGCATTATCCTGCGGGAAAAGCATGACTTTTGATAACAAACCATGCTTTTTGTTGCAAATTGCTTTATGAACAGAATCCAAAATACCACAGTAGTACTGACTCATTATTGTGGTTCCTTCTGGTAAAAATTCAACATTCACTTTATGATCCCAAAAGACAAATGCCATGGCTTTTCTATTACTATCACTCTGTCAGTAGATGAATTTGCTGCATTTAAATTTAAAAATTTTTGCATTCTCATTCCATTTTGTTTATTTGCCTGATCATGATAGTGTTAATTATCAAAAGTGCTTGCAATAAAATTTTGAAAAACAAAAGTATATTTGGTGATTTAGTTGGTGACTTTAAACTTTTTTGGTAGAGAGAATCCTTTACGCTTCCTCTCAACCAACCATGTCACAGAGACTTTAGCATTACTACATACATTTTCTTAATTTTTTCAGCATGTCCAATATTTATGGATGTTTGTTTCACTCTTTCATGAACAGTTACTCAAAATGAGTGATATTCGTTCAATGCATTGAATATAGACATCAGTCACTGTTCTAGTGTTGTTTCAAGCAGATTTGTATCATTCATACACTTGTAAATTCTTCAGAGTTTGTTCTCCAAACTGGATGCTGCAAGTCATTGCAAAATTTTTTCTTGTAAGCAAAAATGTCAACCAGCAAATAAATAATATGTTGTGCAATAGCTTCACTGGGTGCATCATCTACCATTATGAATAACTGACAACATAGTTGCTGTGACATCATGCTATTCCGACAGAACATTCTTACAGATGTATTTAAATGTAAATATGACATGATTGATGTAAAAATACAAACAGTATGCAGTTACTTTAAAAAATTCTGATTTTGATATAAACTTCCATTGAATATTATGAATATGAATTTTGTTAGACAGTTTACAAAT